TGGGTTGTCCGGTAGATACTGAAGGACGTTTCAGAGTAGCACACTGTCTCCTTCAGACTGATGTCACTGCCTCCATTATCAAGGTAGTTGATAAATATCACCCAGATGATGGAGGCAGTACATTTCGGCGACACGTTAGTCAATATTTACCAGACTAAACAGTGGTAGATCTCAGAAAAGAGTCATCTGTTTACTCATCACGGTGGAAATCCCAAACCTCGTCGGACGTAAGGCATTTTTAAAAATCTTGCCACGTTACTAATTGCTATAATAATACACAGGCGGCATCACAAAACTCATATGCACAGCAACGAAAGAGGTGACTCAGAGTCCAGTTTGTTAGAAGCTGATGGGTAGTTACATAACTGTTGATGGTAGAAATAATGTTTGAAGGAAGGAAACTTTTTTCTCATGAGATTGCTTTTGATCATTATGAAGTTTGAAAATTTCGCGGTATATATATATATATATATAAACATGACCTTCAAAATAACTTTTGTTATTGACTTTGGTTGTTTGTATGTAAAATACTCGAAATAATTAATATTTATGACGTTTAGAAATTTGCCATGTTTCCTGTTCAGGTAGTTAAACAGTGATTTTGCTGTATTGACTAGCTCTTCAGATTCAGATTCCATTAAACTAAACAAAGCTCTCTTCAGGATCAGATGCTGATGACGTCACAACACAAGTCCTCTGTCACTTTACGTAAAGTGTTTTATCTCTGTAACTGCAAGTGTTAACTGACTATCAGTGCCGTTTCTGTATGCATAACCTGGTAAGTATGCTAAAGTACAGACTTGTTAATGAAATTCATGGAACACTAACTGTGTAGAGAATATAGGAAGGTAAGAGGGAGACGAAATAAGGAAACAGAGAACGAGGGACAAGGAAGAGATAAGAAAAAAAACAAAAGAAAAAGGAAAAACTGAGAGAAGGAGAATCCATTTAAAGCTGGAAGGACAAAATGAAGCGATGAAGGGGGTGAGTAAATAAGGAAAGAAGTTCAGAACGATAGAAGAAAAATAATGAAAACAGGAGGAAAATAAATGTTGAATTTAAGAAAGAATTACTGCCAAAGGAGAAGAGGAGAAAGATGGAGGAAATTACATTGAATACGTCATCGAAAAATGTCCTCCGTGGTGAATCCGCCGAGCCATTTCCTTCTCCCGCTGTATGAGCACTGGACGCCGAGCTTGATATGGCGCTGGCACGAGTGTGTACCGCCTTGGAGCCGCCATTCGCTGGTGCACCACCTGCAGTTAGCCAAGAATTGAGTCAGTTTCTGAAATGATGACTCTGGAGACTTCAAGGAAATTTATATCCGTGCCTAAGCGCAAAACTTCGTTTATTCTGGACCCTTTGAGCGGTTGGCATTGTAGTCAGTTTACTCTCTGGAAACAGAACCCAGTACCCACTGGATTGGAGGCTGACTGTAATTTTATTGCGTCGTCCTTCTCAGAAACGTACGTATTAGAGGGGTGAAGAAACTACAGCCCCAGGCCTTACGTGATATCGAATTTAAAATTATTTTCCAGGGTAAGAGACCTCAGTTGGCTGTTTCATAGTCTTCCTTATTGTGTCCTGCCCTGACCCAATTTACTCCAATCTACAACAGACAATTTTTCTCTGAATAAATGTTAATATTTCCCTCACATTGAAGCTGACGTCTCCAGATTATATCTTTTATTATAATTTTTGCTTTCAAAAATTCGTCTGTATTTCTTGTTTCCATACATCACCATCTAATCGTCCTTAATTTAATCACGATAACAGCTTTAAGTAAATAGAAAAAATTGTGTTTCTTGTGTAACTTCCTCCGTACCTCTGTTGGTTGTTGTATAAAGAAAATTTAAAAAATCTTCTTAAAAATTAATCACAGATGGAACAAGCACAATTATGGTGTGGTATATTTAAATCCAAATTTAAAATTTAATTGCAAAATTGTTAAGAATAATTATGGTAAAATCTGTGCCCGTTCTCCCTTGAGGATTATGTTTTTCCAGTGTTATTTTTTGCTTATATGCCGATAATCCACAATAATATGATGAATCAAAATTTATTAACAGGTCCCTCATAATTCGTTATAAATTTTACAAGACTTTAAATTATGGCGTCGACTGTTTCATGACTTACCTAACAGCTGATTGACCGCCTGCAGCACTGAGATGGGAATCTGAAACACGCAAAGTGGCGTTGCTATAGAAACGTTAAATAATGTGGTGACTCTTAAGTAACGGAAGTTATTTCTGGTTATACAGCGACACTGCATCCGTCCCTGAAAGCACGAATGCTTGTAGACATCTGATAGGGCCCCTCACAGACATTCCCTGAGAGAAATTCGAACCAACGATCCCAATGTCCGTTCCGATCGATCAAGAGTGGCACGTGTTTTTTGAAGTCACATCAAATGCGACCAGCGTTCACTTTTGCTCATGCGTGAAAGAAATACAGATTAAATTTATTTTAAAACTACATAATTCTTTCTGCTTTATAACGACGTGAAATTTAATCTCTGAGTTTTAAAGAGGAACGCAAAGTGAAAGTGTTTCAGAACAAAGTGATAAGGAGGGGAGAATGAGGAAAATTATGTAATGACAGCTTTTAAAAATAATTTTTGAGGTCTGAGGTTATCACAGCGGTGAAGATGATTTGATCTCCTGAGTTGCCGATACCGAGTGAACTTTTGAACCTTTACCCTCTCTTGCTCCTGACAGCTTTCCTGTCCGGTTTCATCAGTACAAATAGACCACTGAATTTATCTACAGTGTTCTGTCTGACGACAGATCCATATGAACAGGATCCTTTCCTCCTTTTCTCGGACTGGGACCTGTTCATATACGTTCTTGGCAGATGATCCAGAAGTGGTTTGCCATTGCCTTCTTCTGTGTGTGAATGGAGTAATTGTTGGGATGCCACGGAGGAAAACTCCGTGTTGCCTAGATCTCGACCTTGCCCAACACAAGTTATAAATTCGGGCACCGCCGGGAATCGAACCAGATAATTAAGCACGGAAAGGCGACTGTTAAAATGTGAGGTTAAGTTTACCAATTACAAATTACCAAAGTTGTTAACTATTTCTATTGGCTTAGCTGATAGACTTGTTTATTTTATGTCAGATTTCTTGTGTTTCAGGATTGATTAGGAAGTAGGCAGCTTGGTTCGTATTCTATAAAGCGCGCTTTGGTATGGTACGTAGTTCGGTGTTCTGATACAAAGACGTTTCGAAATGAAATAGAAAACACATCCTTGACATAACCATAAATACAGGCTTCATCCATTACGAATATCTGCTTTGTCATTATAACTTTCTAACTCGAATTATGGCAATGAATGAAGAAAAACATGTGAATAACCAGCTGCGAGCAAATGCGCCGACATTTAATCCAGGGGACCGACCCACAAATACCCGGATGCAAAGCATTGGACTGTCTGAGAAATACGGCTCTAAGTACTTGCTTGGTCGCTTCTGTGCTTACAAACGGAGCATTAATCATTTTCTGTCATCACACATTTCGCTTCACCTCGATACTGACAAACAGCTCCACGGAGGCTGATAGTCGCCAATCTGGTTGACATTCTCCATATTTTATAGAATTAGCTCAGTGCGAATATCCAAGGTGTGCTGGGTAAAGCTGAGAAAGTTTACACTGTAAATTGTTATTGGAACGAGTGAACTCATAATTGCGTTGTCATCTTCTATCGTTACGCATTGCACCTGAACAGAAAATGTAAATTTAAATTCTCGTGAGCGTCCTTCATAGTGAAATGTAGTAAGATGCCTTCTCGAACTGCGCAGTATATATTTTTTTTTGTCTGCGTTGATGTGATCTGAATAATAATTGGCTGAGATACGGTCTGACGTGCGAATACGAACAGATTATTAAGTACGTTGGAGCAGACTACTGAAGCCGTAAGTTTGCTGTGTAAAAATGTTTTTAAAATTTGTCCGATTGTCGAACGCGTGAGAAAGCAGCGGGATTTCTGAGTACCGTTAACCATATCTTTATCTCAAATTTTGCACAGAATTAATAGTATAATAATCTAATTTTTATAGCACATTTAAACATGTAGACACGTCTAGAATTAGTCATGTGTGTCGAATATAGGAATATGATAATTTAAGAGTTATTCACAGCTATGTGAATGATAGTTCGATTAATTTTCTCTTCATTAAATGGCGTTTTATAAACTGGAATCTTCTCGGGCCACCAGCCGTTCATTAAACTAAATACAGTACAATTAATACATGAGAGTGAAAGGAAATTTAATTTCGATTCAGCGGTAATAACACGCGTAGCCTGCCCTAATCCTGGAGTACTTACGTTGAATATATTGTCGTAGAATTCGGCCGGTCTTTTGTTTGGACGGGACACGTGATTGCCGGCCCCAGCTGAAGACGACGATAAGGAATCGCTTTCCGATGCGGTTCCGTCCCCGAAGCCAGCCTGGCTAAAGTGAACGCCTTTAGAGCCCACTGAACCTCCCAGACCGGCAGAAGCACCAGTACCGTCTGGGGTACCTGCCTCGGCAAACAGCCCCCCAGCAGGGCCTCCGTCCAGACTTCCTCCTAACCCCGCACTGGCGTGGTAACCACCGAAAGATGTGGATACCCCATCGCCTGACAGTTGCACTTTGGGAATCTGAAAGATGAGAGTTGGGAACTATTTTTGCTCGATGCACTTAAGTTTCATCTGGGTATTGAATTTTTTTAAGGAAGTACGTACAATGTAAAATTTGAGATATTCATCCAGGACCAAAGAAGGGTTTAATACTCACATCGTTTAACTCCACTACTTTCCGTGGAGCAGCACTGCAGACAGTGAACCCGTACAGAAGAGCAATCAGAATGGACCGCGCCATGTCTTGTGATGTAAACTGTAGGAGATTCACAGTTGGACTGATGGCGGAACGGTCGCCAACAGAAGCCGCTACCTCGAGGTGCAACTGCGGCCTGTTCCAAGGCCAAGTCTTCGCTTACTAACTTCCACGTTTCTCTCTCTCTAGTTTTGACGTAATGCTTAACGAGGGAAAAAATCTACTTGAAATGTCGATATCACATAAAAGTTGTCAATGAAGTCGGATCACAGATTTCACTTTCTTGTATCGATTAATCGACTGATAGACCGGAAGTAACAGCATGATGGAGAAAATTGCATAAGGTGTTGTTTGATTTTTGTTCTTTAATGCGAACATGTCAGTAGCATAGAAGGAGGAAATGAGAACTGGCAAAACTGGATGCAAATTGGATTGTAATATTAAAGCGAATTTTTTAGGCATTTGCTGTAAAAGTCTATATTATATTAAAATGGTGCGGAATAGCGTACAGTGATAGGCGTTTTGTGTAAGGCATTGAATATTCGGCTTTCTTAATTAGAGTATGACATGCTAGGTAATTATAAGCTTTTAAACGACTGAGGATTTCATAAAGTGATAGTGTATGATCAGGATGTGGAAGGAGACGATCATGGGTAGATTGAAAGTATCATACCGATTTGAAGGAGATTGTGGGAAACCAGAAAAAGTTTGTTTGGAGAACTATTTATATTCTTCGTTCCTTTTGATAGGAGCAAATATGTACATTGTATTTGGGGAAATAAGGCAGATGAACACAGTTCTTAAGGAAGTGCATATTAGTGCCTCTAGTTGCGATTTTGAAATTTCTTGTATTATATTGTCAGTAATTCAGTGGCTTGGCGTATTGGTTAGTGACAGTAATCAGCTAATGACTGGGAGTTTCCTGTGGATTGAAGGTCAACATATGCAATATAGCCGAAGGTTTGTTTGATTTATTTTTCTTATTTGCATCTCATACAGATGAACGTGTTTGAAATCTTCTGAAAAGTTTAAACCTGTCCAACGCAGTTTTATATTATGGAAGTCTTTTAAATCATAGCATTGGCACGTTGCACCACACATGACCGTGTTTATTTTGTTTAAATTTTTGAAACAGAAAGATACAGTCCAGAATATAACGGAAGCGCGGTTTGTCGAATGTCAGACTTGTCACAAAAGTGGATCTGCTGTGTTCCATTTATCTGAGTGCATGAGAAAGCACCTGGTCTGATTTTAGACTTTTGGTGGCTTTTATCAGTTTAGACGATAGGTCAATTCTAGAAGTTTGTGACGGTCGTGCTCTGTTGAAGTAAACTGTTTTTTTGGATATTATCCACCGTAAAATACTAAATAAAGTTATGTGTCAAGAACAAACAACTTCGATAGAGAAATCAAGAATATAAAACAGGATCTGGCGAGCAATGGATAACCGCAACATTTCACCGAGTCTATTATCAAGCCCGAGAGAAACATCCGGCCATCTTCTGACAGAACATCTCAAGGTACAGTGGTTATGCCCTACGGCAGAGGAATATCTGAAAGATTTCGGAGAATTGTGAACCACTGCAATATCAGTACCAGTTTCAAAACTCCTCGCACACTTCGTGGTATGTTGATGTCAACGAGACCTGGCAGAGACGAGAAACAGATAAGGCAGTGTGTGTACGGGATCCCTTGTGAATGTGGTAAATGGTACATTGGCGAAACAAGCAGACATCTGGAGGCGCGCATCAAGGAACTTAAGTATAACCTTAGACAGGGCCTGCTGGAAAAATCCAGATTGGCCCAACATGCGCACGAGGAAAATCATCATGTCTGTTGGAGTGGAGCCAGGGTCATACTAACTGAACCCAATATCATCTACACAAAATACAAGGTTTCTGCATATATGGCTTTACTAGCCAATCCCATCAGCCAGTCTAGTCTTGATATATCTCGTATTTGGATTCCTGTTAACTCCTGTTTTTTTTTCCAGTTTTTATAATTTTTCATTCTTTTGGTGTTTTAGTTTGCTGGACTTTGGACATTAAATTACATTGGACATATGCGCCAACCCCTACATATGTTTTATAATTTTTTTTGGAGAATGTATCTTTTCTTATGTTTCACGAATATATGCTGCCGTGCAAAGAAACCGAAAGGTTTATGTAATAAATCGCAAACAAATTCACTGCCGTGCAAAGAAACCGAAAGGTTTAGGTAATTAATCGCAAACAAATTTGGTTAATAAAAGTTTATTATTATTCCCCAGGGTTTAACAGACTTTATCACCAAAACCCGTATCTGAATCTGACGTTGTGTTTAGTCACACTGCGTCGCATCACGAGCAATTGCTTTCCTTTACAATTGAAGTTGTAATAAAAGAGGTCTTAAGTACACTTGGACTGTTCCACAATTTCCTTGCTGTCAGTTTTTCATATCACTACATTTTTTTTTTAACAATTCGACTCCCTTCCTCTCAACACTTTACGAGAATTCTGTCAGTTATATCAGGTTTTAATTTTAAATCCACATTAGAAGCTAAAGTTGACGCACAATTCCGAATTTTTTGGTATCAGTATGGAAATTCAGTACAGAACTAGAATTATTGGTTGTTCCGAAGGTCGAGAAAATTAGCACGAACAGCGAATAAAATGATTCATTGCAATATTTGACAGTCCTAAGGCTAAAACTTGTAACACGTTACCATAATTGGCAATTGAAGTAGAATATAAAACTCTTTCTGTGTTCGCAGGGATTTGCTAATTAGCTAAATACCAGAACAAACATTTCACAGACTCGAACGTCATTTACATTTTGAAACATCTACAAGGTTTCAGATCTTGAAACTTGATCCGTCGGCTGCTGGATTAACTTGTGCCACTCTTGCGGCAAGGGTTTGTCGTCTGTGAAATGCCCCGTGTCCGGCAAACACTGAGGCAGGGGCAGTGGCAGGGGCAGCCGTCTGCCCTTGGTTGTTTGTGGCACTCGGGAAGATTGGCCTTGTGCTCTGCAACAGGCTACTGACTGCCGTGAGTGTTGCAATTGGAATCTGTAACAAAAGACCAAGCGAACAGGTGGCAGTACAAAATTGGCATTGTGCGTATCTGGTATGTGATCTGAAGGTTCCGTATAGGCGTTAATTGCGTAGACATTTCCTGTTTTTATTCTATCTGAGGTTCTCAAGGTTGAGAAGGTGACGATGATCTGGGTTGTTGTCTGCCTGTGAGTGAGCGAGTAAGGAAGGGCAACAGAACAAAGAGAATACTTGGGGAGAATTAAGAGGAATTTGGGGGGAGAATAGGTATCATTTTGTTAGGTTAGGTTCCCGGAGTTTGCCGGCTCGTCCTTCCGGTAAGGATAGAATAAGAATAAAGTGCGTGGAACTCTGAAACGACAACAACGGAATTTCCATTTCCTGATCAATGTTTTGCGAAATGAGGCTGTATCAAGTCGTAATAAAAATTAAGTCGATGAATGCATGCGTATTTTGTACACAATACACGATAATGTAAGCGCAACAATTTCAGTTCCTGTTGTCGATGTGAGCACATTAATCTTTTTTTGGAATCGTGCATGAAACTTTACTGGACCGAGCAAATTGTTCGTGACAGAGACGTGGCAGTTGTTTGACGGATAATATTTACATGACAGAAATAGGAAGAGGTGCTGTTTGTGCTGAAAGACAGAGGAGGACTGGCGTGTGTGCATAACCTTCCCGCACAGCCGAAGAAGTGGTACATATGAAACAAAAGAAGTAGTACTAAAAGCATGCTTAGGACTTAGAAAGTTCACCACTCCATGAAGGTAGACTTCATAAACCTTAATCTTTGAGGTATTGTATCTTGTATCATGTTAATGTTAACGTACCTCAGTGTGAACTCTGAGATCCTCAAGTTATTGAATGCCAGAGACAAAATATCCTCCATCGCTGAGCTCATGAACAAAATAGTCCAAAAATTGTAACTTTCTTAGTAGTATCCATTGGTGAAACGTCTGAATTTATATGTGTCAAATTTAATATCGTTCGAACTAATTATACCCGTTTCATTGCACCACTGAGAATAATCCATTCTTTGATACGTCACTTTTTCTCATACAGTATCTGCGTCCAGTCATACCTACGAGTATATGCATTTCCTTTGTTGTCCACTGATTAAATATCCGCTGAACTGAATATCGCCCTAAAGTGTTAGCTTCGCAAACTTAAAACACGCTGCGACTACAATTACAATACGTTCTGATGCAATTTCAGTCCAAAACTTATTGCATCGAGGTAGTTATTCGCGGGGTAAGTCTGGTAGCTACCGAGGAAACTTGCAGTTGGTTGTTGGTTGAGTATGAATGGATTTGTAATTGGGCGATAAGTGTTTGGATAACCTCCTACGGAATTCAGCACTTCGTTGGCGATTTGGAAGAGTGTCTGCCATATTGAGGCGTATGGCGATATAATAAATTTTAGGACACTCAAAATCAAAGCTTCCACGGTTCTGTCGACAGGCCGAGGACGTCTGAGGCCAAGCAGTTTCCATATTGCAGGTCCCGGTGATCTCTTTTCTCTTGAGGTTCTGCTCGGGTCCATAATTAACTGTCAACAGACCTTATGTAATTATAACACAGTAAAACTTAAACATAAGCGAGAGAAAATATTGTTAAGGTTCACAGATCTGTACGACTTAGTTCAGCAGTTGGTTGGGATAGCCTGAGTAAACCCACGATCTACCCACACGATTGTATCATTCTCCATAAAGAAAATATTTTTCGCTTAAATATAATTACCCGTACTAAAGTCAAAAATGAGAATAACAAACCACAATTTTTTTAAATATCGTTGAGTAATATAATAATCCGTCTGAATTAATAATAATATTTAATGTATTTCCGCTAAGTTTTAATGTATCTAATTTATAAACCGGTGGTCCGTGAGTCGACAAGGAATATTAAACTCGGTATCAGGTCCTAAAAGTTTAACAACTCTTTATCTGTACTTTTAAAATCTAGGTCAACAAAACATAGGCCTATTTATAAACACGCCTCTCACCTTGACACACATCGAACGAGAGTCACTCGTGTGTATTTTTGTCTCTTGGTCTGGTGGGCACTTCCTGAAGAGCTTGGGATCTTGTCCGAGGTTATTGACCCGGTTCGGCCATGTTTACAGTTCCAGATTACTTTATTATTTATATGTGGAGTGAAGTGGCAAACTGAGGAGATGTTTGATACCAATCAGGCTAGAGAGGTGACACTGTGCGTAGTTACATTAACCCAGAGGCGTCATTTGAAATAAATTAAAATGGCTCCGTCTCAAGTCTTCCCTACTGACAGATCTATGGAGCAGAGTCCTTCAAGAAATTCAGTTCCTTTATAAACTCGAATGTACATCACTATATATTCACGAAATAATTTATCCACAGAACACTGTCGTGAGCAAGTTTAATACATTCACATACTGCTTCTCAAAATTAAATTTAAAATTATTATCTTACCTGTTGCTAATACTGAGCACTGATCCTTTCGCTCGAATTTCTATTTTAAAAAAACCCGTGCATTTCCTTGAATGTCTTTAGCTGAGAATTTATAACACTAAAATGCAGGGTTTTACATCATGTCTAAAAGACCAGAAACTTACCTGGAAGACGTTGTCGATCACTTGCTGTCTGTTAGGGTTGAGTTGCCGAGCTGACCGATGCAAAATACGGTCAAGAACAGGCAAAATCGACTGTAACTAGAGATCACAGGATGATGGTTATACAGAGATGGCCGTAAATGGAATTTTTTTTTATAATTTTAAATAAGTACAGTGATTTCTCCGGACATCTTTTGGAGAAACGACTAATTATCTCTTCAGCATTTGGGAGATCCCAGGGTAGAATCACAGTCCAGCAAAGGGCTACATAGATTGAGACGTTTGTTAGTTTCCTTAGCCACTCCAGGCAAATGCTAGAATATGTTTTTTCGAGTCATTACTTACATTTATTACACAATCTTGATTCTGAAACCCATGAAGTTGAGAAATCGTCATTTAAGCGAGGGCAAGTTTGGATATAGGTATCACTAAAATGAAAGTGCCAGGCTAGGTTTCCAACAGGTTATCATCTTTCATTAAAACCTTTCGTAGTTTTTCCGAGTCTGTCTTGACGAATGTCGGGTTATTTGTTGTAAACAGTTCATGATTGTTTCCTTCCAAATCCTGAGCTACTCATCTTTTAGAATCATTTCCGCGTGGTCCTGCTATACGCCGCTGATAATATATATCGATAACATCCACGAATAAGCTAGGAATCTCCATTTACTTCTAATATAACACTTCCACGTTTTCTTCTGACTCACTGTAGTCTTTTCTGTGCTACTATTGAATTAAGTAAGTTGATCTTAGCGCTTCTAATATAACACTTCCACGTTTTCTTCTAAACGTTTGCCATCTGACTCACTGTAGTCTTTTTTGTGCTGCTATTGAATTAAGTTAAGTTGATCTTAGCGCTCGTAAATTGATTTATTGTAGTAACAGTAACAAATGCTAAAATTATTAAGAACGGTTTTAGGGTCCACTCTACCTCTTATCCAGTGGGTTTCGTGGGATTTTTCGAGAAATATGATGCCAGCGGTTAAGCATTTAAGGCCCAATAGTAACTTTACTTACAACCTTCTTCTGTATTTGCCTCATAGAATGTATATTATGTATTTCTTATGATTATCGAAATAAACAGCGATTTTTTAAAAGACTTTGCCAGTCGACATTTCTAATTAATGTTATGTATAGGAACGTTGAACTTCAATACCAATTTTTGAGTTAATGCGCCGTATCTCGATGCTTCGTGTAAGTGCGTCGTGTCTCGGTGATTAGGCGGAGCTATATTACCGTTTCCTTGATATTCTTGAACGCGTTATGTAACTGTACAGCAGCATAAAATGTACAAATATCCGTTCACTCACCTCTCCCACTGACGGACTTGGTTCGATCCCAGGTAGCGGAGCACACATCACGGCTCCAAGTACCGTGTACATGGACAGCACCGCAAAAAGTTTCTCCATATCTGTAACCACGATCATAAAAACTGCTTTGCCTATTCGATATAATTTTATGAAATTTGTTGATAGTTCAGCTGTAGGTCATTTAACAACTGCCCTTTTCTCTCCAACGTTAGTTGGAGTTCAAAAAAAAAAAATAGTGCCGTGGGTGAGGGCGCGAATTAAAACAAGGTACTAGGTGTATTACACTCAGCCTTGTGCTTCAGGCAACTTTTTCGACACGCTGGCTTGGCGGGTTTGTCTCACAGCCGCAATCAGGCGTCATGTTGTCGGCTCTGTCATCCGGCGTCTTAACTCGAATTTGGAATGAATCTGAATTTGATTCCGATGGGGGTTCGCCCGTTTTTATTAGCTCTCCTTGGAAGATCCCCCAGACAAGGAATATTCGGATGTTACAAATTTCAAGTGTTTTAGACGGGGGTTCAAACGAGGTGAATGACTTTTCGAAGAGCCGACTTCGAAAGGTAGTTAAGGCATGTGAAGGTGCGTGAGGGATTTTAGCTATAATCTGTTCAACGTACGAGTGAAACTTGAAGAAAGGTTAAAACTAGAAGTTACAGGACCAACAAAGCAGACGTTCTCTTAGGCCTATGGATTATACCTGTTTTCTGGAGGACCGGTTCTTAGGGCTGGTACGGGTAACTTGTTTTTCGCGACCATATCAAGTAAGAAAGTTGTTACGTAAGAGACAGAAACGACATTTTGAAACACGGACAGTTACAAACATTTTGTGGATTGCATAATCCTTAAAAGTAATTAATTATGGCGAAACTTGTGTTCGCTTTGTTTTATGTGATCTTAAATTACTTTGCTGAGTCAATCTCAAGACGCGGTTCTTGCCATTTCATCTCGTGACTTACTGTCAACGTTTCTAGTAGAACCGCATTAAAATACAGGAGACGTGAGGCAAAGACGTTAAGCCCTTGAATTGAATATGAGATTTCGACTGCGATTTAACTGAGGAGGTCGACATGTACTAATACGACCATTAACAATTATGAAGGATTTTGAATAGGAATGTCATGGCGTATTTTAGTGAAAAGTACGTGTCATTCAACGTATCAGAATAACAAGCGATGGCAAAAATATTTTATACAGTAAGTGCATTTATCACGTCTAACAAGAACTTATTACTTATATGTAATATTTTACCAGTAACAGAAACGAAATTAGTGCCCGACTTTTCAGTTGCTTGACGCTCAGAAAGCCTGCGACTGCCAATTCTGACACAGTAATAGTTTTTGTACTTAAGACCACGCATTGTGAGAGACTTATATTTTTAACCTACATATATGGGCCTAGATGTGGCTATCGAGTTGTTAGCACTCCTGACTAGTATTCTGGTGGTCTCAGATTCAAATCTCTGCTAGGTTATGGATTTCAGTTATCCTGACTAAGATGTTCTGGGATTTTTCTCAGTTACTTTAGGTAAATGCAAGGACAGAAACTTAAATTAGGCCACGACAGTTTCCTTTCACATGCTTTCCAATTCGTTATTCACAAGACAAGAATCCAAGAACGCCTAAGAGCTAAATTATGAAACTAGTAGTAAGTGTCAAATCCACTGTTTGTTGAAAATATTTTCCTTCTTTGCAGGATGTCTACTTCGACAGGACGTCTTCAAAGGCAGATGATTTCAATGACAGTTTGTCACCTAACATCTTTAATGTAAGTACAGAATTAATCTCTGTAGACCTCTTGCAGGAGATGCTAAGATAAATGTGTAGTTAAGGACAATTATTGCTGGCGTTCTTATACGTAACATAACGTCAAATATCGCAACTGTATATAATGTTTATTGGGAATTTCATGTTATTAGTGGAATCAAACTTAACCTAAAATGCACAGGTCCGGTTTTGCATCGTAGGATATAATTGTTTTTATTAATCATTTTCAGAGTATAAAACGTTAAAAGGTAATTTAGTCAATATCTACGTTTTTTGAACACGAGTTGGATAGTAATAATTACGTATGCGCAAATGCAATGACGTATACAATTGATTGCTCCTTTGCGTAAATTCATAAATCGGGCTAAATGTAAACAATGTATTACAGTGAAGCTTTATTAAGTGATTTTAAAGACATCTAGCGAAAGGTTGTGTCACCCGAGTTGTATTTAAAATAAATTGTGTTAAATTAATTAGATTGATCTTTTATTATTACAGTCATGGAATCGATATAAATATATTTTGCATAAGTTCGAAATTTTTCTGTTATAGTTAGATTGTAATATGCTGTAAATTGCGTAATTTATAATAATTACTTATTAAGATTTGAGACGTTGTCACACTTGGATCTAAAGTCTCCCCATGCGAGGCCTACCTGTTGTTGCAATGAAGATGTATCTCGGATATATCTCCAACAAGAAGAAAGCTCTTTTCTTCTCTTCGATCGTATTTAAACTGAACCCACTTGAGTTGAATATATCGCCCGATTCCTTCGAGGAAGTATCATTTGAACCTCCCACTGTATTGTTTGACACGCGTGACGTAGTCATGACGCCCACCAATCAGCAACTCCTTTCTCCATCAAAGTACAGTCACTTTATATGATATTTGATAAAATGAACGCAATATGATTTTCGATTTTAATCTCTGGTTAAACTGAATATTAAACTGTTTTGTTGCTGTAATAATGTATTTGTGACAGTAAATCATGTGCACATCGCCTGCGAGAAAGAAAATTAATTTCTGCTCTATTTGTGTGTGTTAAATTAAGTTTCTATGTGTATTTTTGAAGAAAAAAAAAGCCAGTGAGATTTCAAAACAATATTGAACTGATTTTGTCATCAAATTCAGGTTCTATAAGCCAAAGGATATAGAAGCGCATATGTTTTTTATTTACCGCGCGACACCTCGTTGGTACCAGATAGGCCATTTTCTGTATGAAACATCTATGGTTGCCTTAGCAACAGAACAGAAGTGGATATAGGTCGCTTTATCCCTGAATCATTTGTGGTCTCCTAGCAACAGTTAGTCAGGAAGAAAGGGAAATGGAGTGTAGAAAGGTTTTCGTGCAATAGATTTAGACGAAATTTAAAACTCGTCATAAGAAAGAATCATTTTGAATATCTTTAAGATATACAGAAGAAAAATAAAGATATCTACAAGTTATTATCATTATTTATGGTGTCTTTCATTATCTATGAATAGGTTATTTAACGACGCTACATAATTTTCAAATTCATGCAGCATATAATGAATTTTAATATTATGAATGGTGAACTGGAAAAATTTTAGTGGGAAGTTGTCGTCGCCTATTTTAGAATATCCTCCCGAAATTCGCTGGAATGACTGTGTAAAACCGTGATAAATCTAAGATTAGCTGGTTTCTTGTCCGAGACTTGAACTTAGTACTTACCTAATATATAAGAAATATTACTACTTTTTCAACTAGAATATTGATTTAGCTTTTGTTTTGTTGTGAAGATAGAAAACTAATTTCAGGTTCTCCCACCTAGCTCAGTGCGTTTACCCAGAACGGGAATAAGTTACAATTTAAATTTCACTTCTGTATACACAAACTCTGCTCGCTTGCGTACACTTTCACTTTAGCCAAGCTCGAACCTTCTTACGCCTTATTGCGTTCTTTAAGCTGAATGCTGTGTGGGTCGCATAATGTCTGGAGTCGCGTGTTATTTTCCTGCTCTATACCTGAAACAGATAGTAACTTTGTGAGACCAAATTAGTTCCATTACAAGCCTTCACAGCACTGAATCCAGATGTTAATTCCTGGTTATACGCCTGATTTTGGGGTAATCCTGACTAAAAACTTTCTCACATAGTATTAAGGGTCGTGACTACTGGAACTTCAGGGTAGAAGTTACTTAAACCTTAAAGATGAAGGCGATGTGTTCCTCCGAAATGCTGCAAGACCACGTCGCAACCCATAAGGTTAAAATAGAAAACTCTACCACCGGGCGAACCTCATATTTGACACAAGTTAAAAACACTTACATCGGAATCTCAGGACAGATTTCCCAAAACTTGGGTCACTATTTCACTAGAAAAATTGCTTTCTTACTCGTTAGATAGGCGTATGAGTCAGAGAACCGGTCTGGGCATGGTAGTCGAAGATAAAATTGACCATGCCAGAAAGCGAACCTCGGTGGTACAGCCCAAGCGTATTGTGCGTGTAAGAATGGTCTAATCTGTAATTATTCCTGTTATTACATCTGCTGGGTGGCACTATTATTATGAATATCACACAATCATTTGTTTTTTTTCAGGATAGATAAAATATTATATGCAGTGGACAATAAATTAATTCAAATTTGTGAATTTAATGGATGTTCCGTTAATATTATAATTAATACATTAGTGTTGACTGACAATTTGACGTGTAATAACTTGAGCTTTTTAGAATAGTCAGAACTTTGTTGTAATCGTGATATAATGAACAGGTATAGTAACATATCCGTCGTAGTTTTATGTCAGCCTCTGCTTTGTAGTTTCAAATATGATCTCCTAGAGTGGTATCGTAGTTCTTCTCTGTAATGCCGGTTGAACTTCCGTCATTGCGAGTCAAAGACAAGTTCGTACTTCATGTACCAACACTTCACTAGATTACTAGAGTTAAGAACTACCCTAAATACAGTTGTGTTAAACGTAACATGTGTTCCTCTTAGGTTCACCATTTTTATTTATCGTTTACGCGTTCCCTGCGACGTAGGCAACTGCTTCAACGGTGCAGTCGTGCAGAGAAGCTCATGTCCCAGGCTGTTTATGTTGTAGAGTTGGTTACCACGTACGGCCTTACCGCATCCACTATCTCTTTCCGTAGAACACGGACGTTGTTGTTGGAGTCCTGGAATCATATTGAGGTACAGTAAGAAATGCATATACGTGTCTGCGGTACACTTTCAACCGTATTATTGGCAGATGATCCTTCCTGATGATGGAGGCACTAAGCACCTTTGAATTGTCGGTAAAATTATATCAGAGTACACGGCACAGCATCACAGAAAACAGTAATCTTTATTATCATCGCTCCGAGAAACTTAAAATATCACCTTCCTGTCTGTATCGACGTTGTAAGACTTGCAAACGAAGCAAATTCGAATTTACATAAGAATCAGCCTCACCTCTATGGCCCTGCGCGACTCCATGTTGAAGAGCCGCGCCAACCCTCGCAGGTTGCGTCTCAAGATTCGTAGGAACTCTTGCTGTGTCAGGACGAACGGCACTTTCGTGGTCGTGGCATTTTCAAGAAGCTCTCTGCTGGATTCCGGTACGGTGTAGTTCAGTTGAATGCCCTGTGAAACACACAGGTTTAGTCTGGGGATATTTGAGTACAGAAGTAATTTTTTGGCATGCATCTGAAACCAAAAGTTTATTAAAAATGATATATTTTGAGGCACACTTTATGAAAAAATTGTTACATTAGTCGATCGGCTTTGGATCTGCTGGTTCTCATTTTAAGATCCTGTTCGAAATTTTAAAATTCCTCACTATACAATAATTTAAAATATCGGGATTACTAGAAATATCATTTGAAAATAGGCACAGGACAAATTTTAGGACAGGTACCTGGACCTTGTGCCTCTCGTTTTACTATACCTGCTGCACTGGTAATATCTGTTTTGAGACGAGGTCTGAGATTTCGTTGAAAGCTCTCGTCGTTTCGTTCCGTGTCTGAAACACAAACAAATTCATAATCATGGGCTTGAAATTAAAACGTTTTCTTAAGAAATTAGTATCGCTGTGTATATGGAAGGAGGTTTAGTACTTACGAAAGAAACAGCATGTGTGCAATTATCCTCAGTTTAAAGAGAGTTTTGTAACATTAAATATACGAAATATTTACAGCGTCAATGAGGCTCATATAAAATAAGGAAAAAGGTAGCAAAATATGTATATAAAGTAATTAAATTACTTCAAAGTAATGAATATTATTGTGTATAAGTGTCTTTTTTGGACAGGGGTGTCAATATTTACCTCCGAGATATAATCTGAAAGTAGCGAAACAAATCCGCGATTTTTGTGACTTGTCTGCCGTCGAAATCTGAACGTCGGCTTCTGGTCATGCATTTTCAGTGTCTGAAATACAATAAAAACAGTAATGAAACCCTGAATTGGGGTAGCAGAGGAATAAACACAGTGGCTTCATATACAAACCGTCTGTGAGTTGTCTGATGAGATAGCAGTGACTTCTACTGGAGACGTCATTAAACAGAATAGCGTCGCCACGGCAGCAACTGAGTTGAGAGTAAAGTTCCGATCTGGCTTCATCTGATCCTCAGGTCCACCTAAAAAATGTTCTGGAGCTACAGCTGATGTGTTGCAAATGTACCTCGCTTTGTTTATGGCTAAAAAGATTAATCAGCAGCTTCGCAATGCTTGAGAAAATGATAGTAGCTCTGCTGGCCTAGAAATTACGCGCCTTTATGAGACGCGAAGTTTTATGACCGCGTTCACGACAGCCTGTTACCGCACCCTGCCATGAACCACATAAATTCAGTCCACAACCTTATACCATAATTCTTTAAGATACGTTGTAATATTATCTTCCCATCAACACCTATGTCTACCAAGTTCTGTTTCTACTTCCTGTTTTCCGAATAGAATTTTGTATGCATTTATTAACTCCTCATGCGTGTTTTGTGTCCTACGAATTTAGTCATACTTTATTTTGTGAGCCTAATCTTATTATATTGAAGAGTGCACTTTTTAAAGTTCCTTGTCCTCCTACTTTTCTTCTTTAGTCCCGAATTTCGTTATCCTCATCACTTTTTCTCAGACGTGACTAAGAGTGTGTGCATCTATACCTCCATTTCGCCCTACGTCTGCTAGGCCCAGTGCTTAGTTAATTACAAAGGAAAAAACTTCACTTTTACTTCTTGCTTTCACCCTCAATTCGTGTATCAACGTCCCTCACTGTGACCGATCACAACACTAATGTTAGTCCAGAGCAGAACTAAATTCAGACCACTGCCAAGCAATTACCCTTCCCAGCTGAGGCTTCCTTGTTCTTGTGAGGTTTAAATATTCGGAGGCACTGCAGAAGTCTGACTGTAGTTTATGAAGCCTTGTGTTGTTTGTCAATGCAAAACAAGTAGGCCCTAGAGGTGTGAACGTAATGCTCGCTAATTAACGAATGTTTCTTCACTCCCATTCTCCTGACTTTCCGGATACACCGAAATTATTAAGCCGGTTCTTACAAAGGTAACGCTTTATTTAATATATGCCACCAATTTTACTGGTATTACTGACCGTGGTTTTCCGCAGTCTGTGCAGTGGAATGCCGGAATAATAATTTGACTGTGGTCTCTCTTTTCGCTTCAGCAACCTTCGCTATTCTTATTAAAGGCTAAATAACCTTTGTAATCGATGCAATATGTAACGTAAAGTGTAAATAAAATATTATTTCCACGTGTCGTAGGTACACCAAAACTCTTCTCTCTGCTCGGTTCAGATTCGATTATCTAAAATGGAAGTTACTTGCCTCTCAGTCTGAATGGTGATATCTTCCACTCCTTTGACACCGCACGCACGCACATGTACCTTCACTGGTCCGTGTATCTATTGCAGTGAACCTCGGCCTCTGCTGGATGTTAGTTGCACTGTGCCGCAACGCTGAGTACGTAAAAAACTGAAGGTTTTCATCTTTCGTCTTAAGGACAGTGAGTTACTTAAGACTCTAAGTGTGACAGATTATCGACTGTCGTTCATAAATTTAAGTTGTTTAAACAAGTCATCCGGCTTAGAACTTAGGAATCACCATCAGACGGAAATGTACTCGAATTATAAGGTTGCCGAGTAGACAGTGAATACGCTGTTATTGGATAAATATTCATCATCATAAACTTCGTTTCAGCGAGTAGACAGTGAATACGCTGTTATTGCATAAATATTCATCATATAAACTTCGTTTCATTATGGTTTAAATACTCGTAACTATTTTGGCAAGAGCTAGAAATATATTACGTCGAATGTTTGGGCAATTTGCGAATGACTGGAAGTGGTGTGGAAGGAAACGGTCGTGCCATATTTTCCTACTAGTTTGGTGTATAAACGGGATTGGGGAATATGAACAGCTAAACCACCAATTTACTGGATAGCGATGATTTGAAAGTAGTAAATTATAGAATGAAGGGATTTGAAGGAAGTTAAGGAAACTGGGATCCAATGAAAGTGTAAGAACTCTTACTTGAAAGAATTGCCCGAATGCATTATGTTGTACAGAGACATTTAAAAGCACGTAACAGAGGTAATACTTGCACTATGGTTGTCACAGGTCCGGGTAAAAGGTAACTTATCTGGGCACCGCCCAGATTAATTTCCATCTCATGGACGTAGACAAGAAAAGGTAGGAACATGCGTCTTATGAAAGCTGTCATTTTGCAAAATGTCACATGCGTTCAACCTTTAGATGATATAAAAAATACGTCATCAATTACCAGGTAATAAACAGTCTGTACGTGAGAATGTGATGTGAGCCGGAGAAACTGAAGGAGGTGTCAGTTCCTTGCAGCTTTCATTGGTGCCATCTTCAAGCGACTTGCGTCAACATCCCAAGTGGTATTACACGCAACCAGGCCAAGCAAACAATCTGCCACTATCTCTAATAGGCGACTGTTGACACTCGCAATGAAGAAATATGGTGGCAGAGGCGTTTTGTTACTAAGTGTTTGAACAAGGAAGGAACAAAGCGCATATACTCACAGTCTGGGGTAATTTCTAGAAAGTGGGGATAAAATGCAAGCAGATACGTGCTGCGTTCGTCTTGACACTGCAGCCTGTATGCGTGTCTTAACGTCTAGTCACGTGGTAAGTGTTAGTGTTGGGTTTACCGCAGATATGGGAAGAAAACAGCGAGCGAGAGGAAAGAGGAAAGAGACAGAGAAGGAAGAATAAGAAAAAAATTAGAATTTATAGGAAGAAGAGAAAAGGAGAAATAAGGGGAAACAGAAATTGAGAATGAGAGAAAGGAGAAGACGAAGCAGGAACAGAAATTGAGAATGAGAGAAAGGAGCAGACGAAACAGTATAAGAAGAAGATAATGAGAGGAACAAGAAAAAAGAATGTTACGATGTGTTACGGAGAACAGGAGAAGTTTTTTAATAATATCGTTGTAAAATCTATTGTTCTCAAAGACATGTCTGAATAAAATATTCTTGTCTCTGATTAGATGAGTCTTAAAGGGATAAACGAATGTTTCTTATCAGCCGTCACTTCAACAGAGGCTTCATATGTTTTCAATTTGAAAACAATGATTTTTACTCAGACACAGAAAACACTCTCTGGGTGTTAAGTTGGTTGCGTTTCAATAAGTCTACTAAATGGTAAAGCGTCAGGCTATTGGAGAAACCTCGTATCATTTTTTTCTTTTCGTGATAAAGGCTTACAAATGTGGTTCCTTTCACAAGGTCGTGCAGTTTGCGCACCATTGGTTTAGAACCGCAGTTTTATGTTTAGTGTCGTCTTTATGTTAGTGAATGTTGACATTTCCCTGCATCGTTGAGGACAAAAGATGTCATTAAAGCATAGCAAATATCGGGTATTGAAACTCCACTTACATTATCATGCAGAATCAGGCGTTCTATCTAGTGACTGAGGATTTCTAACTCTAAAGGCAACGAAAATATTGCATAACCACGTACAAACTGAACTGACTAACTAACTTGATGGCTTGGGGAACCCGAAGGTTCATCACCGAACTAACCAAAGCCCTCCACCGGCCCCTGTCCTGGGCCAGCAATATCAAATCGTCTTCAACTCCTATCTCGTACAGATCTTGCCTGATATTATCCTCCCATCTACGTCTAGGTCTCCCCAGCAGTCTCTTCCCTTCAGGTTTCCCGACCAATCACCGGTGCACAACTCTTGTCCTATCCATGCGTGCCACATGTCCCGCCCATCTCATTCTTCTCGACCTGACAATACTGGGCGAGGAGTACAGATTTTTAAGCTCATCATTATGCAGTTTCCTCCACACCCAATCCTCTTCTAATTGCACTACGGTTGGTACTTCCTATTGTCGTCTGCCACAATGCCACTCGGTCCAGAATGGCAAGGTCATTTGGCGCAATGAATTACTCAAAAAGCGTTTTTAATGTTTTTGGAAATGCAATTCTACCCTTTCTAAGTGTCGATGACTATTAGCGCATGAACACACCTCAGCGGAGGAATTTGAAACTAAGTTAATGCAAGCAAAGTACCAATTAACTTTACTATCACATGATATCGACAAAAACAGTGGTGGTACGAGAGGCCTTTCTAATGAAGTGACGTGATTGGGTAAAAGTGGGTCAGGGGTAACCGTAATGGGTCTTTAGGTTCACTTGTTTGGAGCCAAAGAATGTCCGGCCGAACTGTTTGCTTCTTCTTGTTGGAGTTACAAATTCCTGGTAACTGGAAACACTTTCACTGGTCGGTTACATAAGCGTCACGCCTTAGACAGAAAACTCTCGTTCAAAGAATCTAGGTCCTCTGACTCAAAACGGGGGGGGGGGCTTTATTTTGTTTATTGGTTTATTTGATGACTTTTTCGTAGCTGCTCATCTTATAGCGACTAATCATAACGTCAGAACTCTGATGTTGGACGTAGTATGCACTTCTGAAACGTCGGTAAATTTTTATGAGACTGCGTGGCGCCTCATCCCAGAAAAGTAATCTTGAAACTCGCCGCCTTGAGGGCATGAAATTTCGCCTAGTTACAAATAGTGAAGTGGGAAGGATGTGGGAGAAATCGACCGTGGCCTATTTTCATGCTCCATTGCGTAATTTGCTTCAAGGGAAAACGTCAGGATAACCGGGGTATTGATCGAGAATCAAACACACGTTCTGCCGAATACGAAAACAGGAATGTTTACCGCCAAGCTTGGACTCAAAGTAGGTTGACATGCGGTTTAAGCTTTTATGAAAGTAGAATTTCAGAGCGAAAGTCATAAAAGGCAATGTGGCTCAGAACCGCAGAGCTGATCTCCGATTGAGGGTCGAAGATGCGTGCGCTATGGAGAGACTGAGACCCAAACAATCAGAATTTCTTGTCTTTGCACCCTATGGAGATCCATTTAAATCCAGTCCCTATTTTTGGACCACATTTATCCCTACATGCATTTGCTCTATGAAATAAGGGATCCATTATGACGTAACACTGCGTACCGCTTAAGATGCCGTTGTTGCGATAAAATACTTCGTATTGTTCCTACTCACATTCATCTGCCGGCTAGGTCAATGTTTCGCCCCTCGCGAACTGCTTGTCACGCTTGTCGTGAGTCACTGCGCCACGCATCTCGCTTCATTATCACTCCACTGATGTTCAGTTCATTTTGCTGCAGATTCTTCCTGCTACAAGCTTCACTTCATTTATCTAATATAACTTGGTTTTCCGTCTTCCTCAGTTTTACTTTTAACACGTCACACTTTGTCAGAATCACTAACAGACCATTTACCTAACAAACATGTCCAAAAATCCCATTAATTTTACGCTCAGTTCACGCAAACCGATAACGAACTAGTTAATCCTTGTATATTGAGCACTTCTGAAGACAAGTTTCCTTCCGCTTTGATTTGTTTCATTAACGATATGTCGTCTGCTATGAACTCGGATGTAAAAAGCTTCCGATTGGACAGCAAGATTGTTATACAACTGTCGACTGTAGAGACACCTCGAGGAAACCACCGTAAACTTTCACGCCCAATCCTTGAACTAACATTAAATGTTTCCACTGTTACATTACAGTGATTAGAAATCTAAGATGTGGAGGGATGTGTTTAAATAAAGAAGGGTAACAGATCGGGACATAAGGCAAATAGGAGACGAATGCCGAATTTTTGTACTAAAAGATTAAGGAAACAGATCATCTGGGGTCGTGGATATAGATGGGCTGATAATATTAAAATTGACCTAGGAAATATAGGATGTTAAGGCGTGGATAGAATTTTACTGGTATAAAATACTGACTTGGGATGTTGCGCCATAGAAAATTACTACTAGACTGTACCGCGCAACTTCCCACAAGACAGCCATATTCATATTCGCCGTCGTAGGAACTTGAAACCTCGCATGGCCATAAAAATTCATGTTTAATAAAAAAATTCTTAAGATAGTGTAGTTGCGTCATATTGTGACTTATTAAATTAAAATTAATTTTAATTTAAAAAAATTCTTGACAAACTGAGAAAGTGGAGTTCGTAGAGGTTACAAGGTTGTAGGAATTTCAGCCAATAAAGAAATGGGGCTGATAAGTTTACTGATTTAAAATTACTCTTAACGTGTAATGAACCTGTTCTTTGCTCTGCCTGGGGTGTTTTCTGAGACCTAAGTGATCATACACGCACAATATAAGAGAATCCGGGTTCTTGACCCATTCATTCGTGTGAGGCTTGCGACCGACAAAGCCAGTTCTAAAGCAGCTTTCCTCTACCGTCTAACACGTCCAATCCAAGAATTTCACCACGTGACGTGCGTCGTTCTTACGCGCCCTTTATTAGGAATGATCGTACGTACGCGTAGTTTCCCCGCTTATACGCGGTGCACTCCTGAATTACAAATGGCAACGAGTGCCACAAAATTAAAGGAAAAATTGCAGTGTATTTCTTCATCGCGATCAGTTGCTCTCCTCCTGCCTTAATATTAAGTTTATAAGCGACGTAATGCATATTCATAAATAAGGGGAATGCCTGTTACAATGCACCAAAAATTTTGGACAACGTCGCAGCGTAGTGACAGGGGAAACACAAAAAGGTATTTCCCCCGGAGAGGATACATTCGGAAAATTGAGTTTTCCTCCATGAGAAAATAAAAACGAAAACAGGGGTATCCAAAACATATGTTCTAAAAACTACAAAAAAAAGTATTGCCCGCTTGAAGAGACAGGCCCCGGCAATATTGTGCCTCTGTTCTTTTACGAAAATTGGACACGAAATCAAATCCACGTAGTCTGTAGCTCTTTCTCTTTACTCAAAGTTATGCGTCCGATTTGTATTCAGGATTGTATTTTCGCTGTGATCTGCTTCCTGAATTTTAATGTCGGAGTTCGTGATCGATACCGCACGGAGAGAAAACTGTGAACCAAATTTCTCAGCCCAGTTTCTACTGAAGCTGCCAGCAGCTGCTCAATCGAAATACCATCATAAATCCTTCTGATCCTAGTAAGAAGGAGGACGAAACTAAGTGTTAACTGATGGTTTCGTAAACCAAACACGATTGTCTAACTCCATGGAGTATAATCCTTTCTCAGAAGCTTGTAACAGCCTCTCACCTAGTCAATAAACTCCGTTCTTCTTGTAGAACTAAAAGGTTCATTACCCTGTTCACAAAATCCCGCCAATTGACCCTATCCTTAGCCGCATGAATCCAGTTCGTTGTAATACTGCCTTCTATTCTACGCGTAGTTCTTCCTGTTGTAAGGTTTTCCATTCAAAATTCTGTAAGTATTTTTCGTCTCCCCCCAAGGTTGCTACATGATTAGACCCCCTTATATTTGGTGGGGAATATGGCAATCCAAGTTCCTGTCGCGTCATCTGTCTTTGGTCCAAATACTCTCCCCAGCATCCTCTGCGCGTGCACCCTCAGTCTGTCTTATCTTTAACGCGAAAGACCAAGTTTTAGGAAAATATCGAAACCAATCAGAGATTAAAGCCGGTGACCCTGCTTATTTCTGAACCGGATGCTGATGACAAATGTAAATCGGACATTCTTGAGACGTTGGGATACTTGGATGACGTAAGCGCCGGCAAGTTGGGAACCCCCAGGTACGCGCAATTACTCTCCCTCTTGCTGATCACTTTCACTTTGCTTCCTTCCGACTCCTTCCTGAACTACAGTGCGCGGACTCGGGAGAGTTGACGCACCCAAAGTACAGATCTTTCAGAGGCCGCTCAGGTTTGATAACGCAGGGAGCTTTGTCAAGTTCGGTTTTGCTCTCAGTTATATTTGGACCAATTTTCTTACAGTTGCCTTACCTGAAACATCGAGTGTGTGTGTGTGTGTGGGGGGGGGAGGGGCCTTCTGAAGAATAAAAACATTGGTTTTTCGCTTTCTTTAATAATGGGAGCACAAGACACTTTAAACATTCTTCTATTGCCGATATTAATAATAGATTGGTGTGCAAATCACCTTTGAATCTGGTGTACGTCGTGTTACCGCGTGTTAACCAATAGTGAGGTCTCGAATTAGTACAGCCGAATCCTCCAACTTTGAAAGTCGTTCGAAGTGCCACTCTTGCCTTCATATATTCTGAATTTGACCGTCAATCACATTGAGTGACTCAGGAAGACAACATGTTAGCGGAATATGCGATTAACTCCAAACACTATAATTTAACCTGTCATCAGGCTAATCCGAGGCTCAACACAGCTTATAGAGACACATAACACTTGTTCCCTCTTCATGGCGAGTTATTTTGCTAGAGATGTCCGTGGACGCTTCTAGCAGACAGCGCGTCCTTCTGCGTCTGAATGCTGCAAGGTCTTTGGGGTCAATGAGTTCCATGTGTTTTATCGGACATAGAAGCTGATTTCCTAGGTCTTCGGGGTGATCTCTGTGAAGTCTGTGTGCGTGCTACATGTCCCAACTCTTTTTTTATTTAATATATTGCCGTATCGATATTGATCATGAAAAATTAATTCTCCTGCCGCAAGATGGCTGTAGACTGTCATTGGATAATTAATTCTTACTTAATTTTAAATGATGTTTAATGTTTTATTATTATAATTGCAAGTGGAGGGGTTGGGAAGGATACGTTCTCCGGTTCGAACAGCCCACTGGAAGGTTTGACCACCCTGACATGGATTTTTGTTTTTAACGTTTGCCTTTCACTTAATGTTTGTTTGCTCTCAAGATTCTTCAGTATATAAAATCCAAATAATATCCCAGCTCGCTTTGCACGACTGAAAGTCAAACAGCGCGCGTGTATTTGTATTGCAGATTGAATAAATGTTTGTTCCTGACGTATTACGTCGTACAGAAAATTGGTAAAATGTTAGAAGGAATAAAAAGTTCAGATGGGCCCAACCCCACAAATACAAGGATATTTTACGAAAATAATTATTGTAGTCAAAAACTATTTCTTCGTATTTCTTCATAAATACCGGATTCTTTCAAGCTAGATTTGTAAAGTTTGACTCTCCGTTTCTTGTTTTATTTTTTTCTGAGAGCGTTTGTACGTTTAATTTTAGGGGTTCTGCCATCTTGTAATCTGTCTCCATGCTGCCTCCAAAATTCATATAATTTGATGAATTTCTTATTCTGAGTTGTAACGTCGTGTGGGCTCTTTTTTAAATACCAGTGCTTGTCTAAATCGTTGGGACCTGCCTACGAGTCCACATGGCGTCAGACCCAGGTCAAAATGATCATTATTATCATATAGTGTTTTATATTTTATTTTTTAAAATGTGTTTGGCGTGGATCTGCAAGATAAAAGTTTCATACCTTAAAACTTTTGGTTTCTGAAATTCAACTGAAATAATGTATTTCAGAATCAAAACTTACCTTGACATTTCCAGTCATGACTGAATAACACCCCTGCACCCGGTGACTCAAAATAACCACACGACAAGAATACATAAAAAGTTACCCATGCAGAATGTATCTCTCTTCTGTCATATGTGCGACTTTAGCGAAACTAACATCACTTCTGGTGATCGCCTTGGTGATACACTTGACTGAGACTCAGCGCCGTGACGTCAGGCCGCTGTAATCACGCTCATGTGATGCAATTAAGCCTTTCCTTCCTGTGATTGGTTGATCATTTTGCATGGCATATGTAATAGATGTTTACAATGGTTGTAATTTTGATTTGCACAGTTAAAAAACACAACTTGAATTGCAGAGTATGAACGTAATCACGGAACTGATATGTAAGGAAATGTAGTGAGAACAGAACACTAAATGTATATATGGCACATATTTCACTTTATGTTATAAATACGGTATAGATACAAAGTTACAGCCCACAGATTGATCTTTGACACACCTTTTTTTATTTTGCAGTGTAGTTGTAAGCTCAATTGTTTTTAACCATTAGTATTTCTGAGCACCCGATTCTGTACATTTGTTTGAAATTAAAAAAAAGAATGGTCCTTGTAATCAGTTATGTAAGTGGTGTGTAATAAGAACTTAAACACAATTCTTAATACGTACCTTATGCTTTTCTTACGAGCACCATATGTATTTACAAGTGTATTCATATTTACCATAATTGAACTATAGATCGTATTCCAGTGAATTATAAACACAAAAATGACGCATCAAAACTGTAAACTATCAACTTATTCTTGTTGTCTGTTGGAAACTATCAAATTTTGAGTTCTCACAGTGGGGAAAATGGTGTTACTGGATCTCTGAGTATTAACGCCGTGTAGATTTGTAGGTCAATACCAAATTTTAGAGTAATATTACTGCCTTCAGCTTCAGTCCTAAGAGTTGAGGCAGTACGTCCCTTAGTAACGTTGATACGTACCTTCAAAAACCACACGGCGTTACAATCCGCAAGAATATGTCTTTAAATTTTCAGTTGTTTTTTAAAAGAAATTGATTATAATTTGTTTGGTTTAAATTTATGATGTAGTAAAAATGCATCACAGAAAGTTTCAATGTAAGTAGGCAGTTATATGGTTTATTTTAGAAAATACCCAGTAAAATTTTTCATTTAATACTTAAAAAAAATTTGGATTAAGATTAAATTTTGGATAATGTGGTGCTTGTATTTCTGTACCAGTTTAAGCTTGTGTTACAGTTCTTAAACTGAAATAATTTCATCACCACTCGCAAGGCGTTCAAATTTACAAAACACTTCTGCTTGCGACATCCAGACTCATTTATAATTTCTTACATTTTTACCATTGTGTTACTGTGTTGGACTGGGTGAACATTACGGTGTATATGATAACGTTGTGTTTTAGGTATGAACTGAAACACAGTTACGGCACAAAATTCAGAGTAAGGAACTATATAAATCCATAACTATGGAGACTAACACAATACGGATTGTTCTTTCTCGTGTTAGCTTCCCAATTCGATTAAATTCTGTGATACCGAAGGATGTGAATTCGCCAAGTACGTCACATGTGCATTGCCTCTACCGTTTCTTGTACTACTACTGCTGCTGTAGCTGCTGCTGATGGCACTACTTTTGGCTCCTGTCGGTGGCTTCCTCGTCGATGTCTTAATGCCCAGTACTTTCCCAAAGGTCGGTTTCACTGCCTCGACAAGCCTCTGCGTTCTTGCTGCCGTGTTCTGGAACGGGACGGACAATGCCATTAAATAACTCCTAAAGGAGTCTCTCAACAGTGCCTTTAGTTTTATAAAAAATTAATGACTGAAATTTTGTAAGGGCAGTTAGAATTAGCCAGAGGGAAATTGGTGGTTGGAGTCGAGAGGCCACCGATCCGAAGAATGACTCAGGCCAATGTTTCTTAAGACAGTATGACCAACCTTGGAATTTTACTCCTTGTTGGTCAGGTGTCGCGTGTTCTGGTCAAACTTTATTATAATTGGTATGAATGATAATTTCAGATTTTGTGATGGCACGAATTTGGATTTGTCGAGAAACAAATTCGCCGTCAGTGCACTTTCATCTTCTATTTGAGATAAACATCTTCATCAGAAGTAACACTTGTTTGCCTACAGGCGTGAATCTCAATTTAAACCACCTCTTACCATTAACTCTTGACTTAGAGCGTTCCACTGGGCAGTATGTTTTTATGTCAGTATGTTTTGTACTTACTAGGATGACGTCACTGATGATTTTTGATATTCTGGTAACAAGTGAGAAGGAAGAACCGATAAGCTCGTTGGGCAGTTCCAGATTCACGCGTCTGTTGCCAACATCCGCAATTTCCTCCGTCGTCGTGGATCCGGCCGGCTTTACCTGATAACAAACGCAATTGTTATAACACTATAGACTGAGGCTGTTACAAAATGGAGTACAGAGGAATATGACAGCCTTATGAAGTTTTGGGCTGGATTTAGGGGTCAGCTGGTGTGAAATTTTCTTTGGTCTCTTAGACAGGCCTATTTGCTCCATCGCAATATCTACACCATACACAAACCTTTTTTTCAGTCATTCTATTTATTTTCATTCGTGTTCCACTACAATTTTCGGTCCATAATCGGCCCATCTTCAAGGGGCGCTATTGTTTGTATAGATAAAATTGAACTCTATGCCTGTAACCTTATATAAACGGTACTAAAATATTCAACAGATAAAACGATATTAAAATGAAATATATCATAGGATTCTTTGATACAGTTCATATAATCTTAAAGCAATAATAACAACGTATATTTGTTGGTGCTGATGTCATGTCTGTCTTTGCAATCGTAATGAACGTAAGGGTTCCGTAAGGGGCCGTGAATTTGATGACTGAAGACCCGTCAGCTTCTCAAATATGACCCTGCTCAATGTAGTTAATTAATAGTTAATTAATGAAGAACTGCCCAACTTTTCAGCTATCCTGATTTTCAGACTTAAGTCGAATCACATTCTAAACAGCTTTGAGACATAGATTCGTTTTGAAACACTTTGACACTTTCGTATCTGAGACACTTGATGGGATTACTTCATGGCAAATGGCGAAAGGATTTGTGTTTGTAGTTATTTCAAATATATGTAACTTGCATAAGTTTGCATGTGTCATGAGGACATGTAAGCCAACGTGATATAAAACTTGTATTCTTTGCGTAACGCGCAACCTCGCCCACTGAGGTTTCACCAGACCCACGCTCCAAAGACGTGACACAGTTTTACAATTACTGAGGCCTTTTACGATTTTAAAGGATCCGTAATGGTATAAACTGGAGTTGCCCCTTTGTGTTTGCAACACACCGTGACGAGCGGGGGATGGTTGTACTGAATGAAACACGAAAACACATTCTAGACTTCTGTGCTGGAGTGTGTGTGTGTGTGTGTGACCAGGTTCTCATTCAGGCTAAATTACTCCCGGCGCGGGTAAAATAGGAGACTAGAATCGGTGGAGATGCAGTTGTGGCAAAGAATTTTTTTTTCTGTATAAAATTTTGCAGATCTCACAATGAGAATGTAAATGCCATGTTTTGAGGGTCTCTGTCATTGGCTTCTTTGTTCTCAAATCAAATTTTATTACATTTTTAAACGAATTGTCGTTGCAGAAATCTTTTTTAGCCAATGGTCATAAACCAATATGTGTTGTACAAACAACTTGGAAGACTTAGGAGTAGATGGAACAATAATATTGAGATTAATTATAAAGAAACAGGGTTGGAGAATGGGGACTGCATTTAAATGGTTCAAGGCAGGGTCCAGTGGCTGACTGTAACAAAGGCAGTAATGAAACTTCGGACAGTACATTTCTTGAACATCTGAGATGATTTTAGCTTCTGAAGAAAATTCTAATTTTTGAGTTTGGCAGATAACCAGAACAGGTGGCCAGCCTGGAGTGTTTTAATCACATAACGCACGAATTAATTTAAATACTAAGTGAACTAATTATCATAGATACTCGGCTAGTATGTTTTTCAAAGTTGTGTGACCTCTAAAACTCGTGGTGTAGATACTGATTTTGAATCCAGGGTGACAACCGGTTTTTCTTACAGGTCTTTCCGGCTAATTCTCAGTCCGTCCAGGTAAACGAGTAGACAGAAACTTAAGATATGTCAGGACATCTTCTTGCTTCACTAGTTCTGATTTCTCAGTCATCAACCTACCCTTAACTACGAAAAAACCTTGTTAGTTATCTTATGCGTTTGTTATTACAGTGATCAATATAGGAAGTGCAAGACATACAGTTCTTACTGCAGAGTTGATAATTCAGCAAAAATTCCTGACTGAATTGTTTCTTTCACACGAAAGGAAGGAAATTGAAGGAAATTAAATGTTCGGATTTAGTCTTGTTCATCTTGTCTTTAATTAATGGTTTCTTTGTGTGAAGCATGTACGGAGTTTGTTAATCTGAACATTTATATTTAATTCTTTCGTGGTTCTGTATTTATAAAATTCTTTCACTTTAGAGTAACAGTAACTATCTTATGTTATCAAAAATTTTGTATTAATTTCTAGTATTTGCTTATTTATTCATTCATCGACCATCACGCCAATATTTCTCTGTTCGAAACGAAAAGTTTTAAATTTAATTAATGTAATTCGTTATTTTATTTGATTCCCTATCACAATAGCTTAGTCGGTATAGTGACTGGCTACGGGCTGGACGACCGGGGTTCGATCCCCGACGGGGGCAGAGGATTTTTTTTCCTCTAGCCTCTGCGTCCAGATCGGCTCTGGGGCCCACCCAGCCTCCTATCCAATGGGTACCGGGATCTTTTCCCGGGGGTAAAGCCGGCCGGGGCGTGATGCTGACCACTCACTCCCATCTAGTGCCGAGGTCAAGGAAGAGAGGAGCTATACCTCCACTCACCCCAAACGCCTACATGGCGTATAGTGGGACAAACTTTACTTTACTTTATCACACTGGAATTAAGTCTTTTTTCTCTATTTTTTAATGTTACACACAATCTGTAAATATTCTTATATGTGCCCGATAGTAAATCGGTATATGCCACTTAAATAACGATAACAACATCTGTTCTAGAAATGTTTATTAGTATCAGTATTAAAATTTTATCACTCATTTAAGTATGCTTGAGGATGTTAAGAGATATTACAAATTGAGTGTAGTTAAATTACATGTATTGGATAGATATGTACTATAGTTTATATTTACATTAATTTATAATCAGTCTATACATGACACCTACATTTCAGTTCAATGAATACATTAAAACATTTTAAGTAATATCCTGCATTATTTGAATTCATACAAACATAGTGATTGTACACATACTATGACAAATAATATAGTTATTCAGTTAATGAAACTGAGAAAATTATGTATACTACAGAACTAATATGGTCGAATTAATATTTAGAAACTTACGTTAATTTCTGAAACGTTGCGTTCTTCAAAGGGAGAAACTATGTACACGACTTTCGAAGTTTTGCCTCTAATGAGAGTTCAGGTTCTGATTTACTTTGTGACATTTTGTAGTTCTATAAGTGAGTACCGTTCGGAGGAACTTCTACATTGAAACTGGAGGCAGTGTGTTCCTCAAACGTTGGTAACCACCTTTAGGACTGCACGATGCTATAATACTTTCCATAAGATCACAATATGAAAAGAAAAATATATTCTACAAAAGTCTCACAACATTCAAATTTCCTTTACATGTGGTCACGGAGTGTATACGTAAATATATCATATATATGTTACAAATAAATAATTACACGCCCTTCATTCGTCCGCTAACTTGTATAAGCTCTGTTTATAATTGGTATTGCTGAAACCAGAAAGTAATCCAGTGTGGCAACTATTACCACATCTGCTTCTCTGAGAACATGTTGAGCCTGTTCTCCCGGCAAAGATGTCAATAAGGCACTGGATTAAAAGTCGCATGCAGTGGCTTAGGGTTCAGATGAGTGCAAGAACGCTACATAATTATTGATGAGTGTGAGTTTAGATAGACGATGATAATAATAATGATGATGTTGATGGGATGCATCCAGCATGGCATAATGGACAGCACATTCTAGTACTAGAATCGATAGTTTAGCCCCTGAAAAGAGAGTGGTACAAAGTAGAATATTGCAGTAGAGTTACGTGCAATAGTTCATATATCATCTGCAGTGTTCACGGCGTAATCAGTCTATACAAATTTCTCGGACGATTAGCCACTTCGACACAGTCCGACTGTCCGGAAACTTCCATCTTTATCATCAGGGAATAATGAGGCAACATTTTGGTTTACCATGTAAAATGTTATAAAGTTTTTTATTTTTATAATAGATGGATAAGCTGTCTAGGTTCACTTCCCTGGTCACCAAGGGCTTCTGACTTAGTTGGTGTTGGGAATGGTGAAGTAACGCTTGAACCACAAAATACGAGAACTAATTAAATTCAAGAATTTCGTTCCAGTATATTTCAGTTTGCCATTCTTTTTTGTGTTCTCAAGTGTCATCGAGTTTTTGTGGCTGCAAGTTGGGCTCATAAATGGCACACACGTTTCTTAATTCGAAATAACTTTTATAAAAAGATGATTGGGGTTCTGTCACTCTGTTATTATAATTTTCTTTCTTCTCCCGGCACTCCTCATTTGTTCACATACATATCAAAAGTCTAAAGTGTTAACAGAGCTGTTGTAATTCGGTCTTTGACACAAGCACAATATTCCATCAATTTTCAACGTATTAAATATGACTGTGTTTTGGAAATGTTTCATTGGTTATTTTACACGTCAATTTGAGTGTGCTTGAGCGTATTTCACGTTTCTGGGAGGCATTTGGAGAAAATTGGATATTGTGTTCGGACAAATAAGTAATAATGTTTGTATTTTTTGAGTACATAAATATTAATTCCCGTTTTTTAAATTTCTGTTGCTGTCAAAACCGATTTGTTAAGATTATTCTGTGCTTTGTTTGGACAATTGGATATGCATATAACGTACGACTTTGTATCAAGTAAACCAATGTGCAATAGCGTAACATTTTCAAATTCGTTAATCTTTGTAATGTAATCGATAACTTATTAAAACGACTTTCCTCGTAATTTTGTTAATACTGAAACATTGCAACCGGAAGACGTTTCTTGTGATACTCTTCAATACACATAGCCTTGGAATGCGCCCGAGGCCTAGAAATGTAAAAAAAATAATATCAAACCATATCCACCGAAAAGTAATTTTTAAATTGCTACATGAACCATTAGTTCAGATACATCAGTTAAAACATTTCAGATCCATAAATAATATAAAAATGCACGTAAGGAGGTTGATGGTTTCTTAGGATAAGTCACTTCGATAAACGCAGAGGGTAATGAATTGCGAGTTTAAGCGGACATTCTGGCATAAAACCCACCGTTACTGAATTTGATCGAAATACGTCTAATATTTTCCGAGCTCAACCATGCTGATAAACAGACAATTCGTGCAATGGGTATCACGTGAGGCCTGACCCGCCTTTGGTGATGAAGAGAACCTTACCGTTGTTTGGCTTGGTGTATCACAGGGTTTCTCTCCATAAAGTCCGACAGCCTTGTTCAGCTCGATGTTCTTCCTGTCGAGTTGATCGACCAGTCTCGTCTTGTAGTCGATCAGCTGATTCACTTTCTGTACAAAAATACAAGTAGCGAAATCTTTCAAGATACCTTTCTTTGTAACGTATTTAGCATTTCGGTTCTTCAAGTCGAATAAAATCACGTTCATTTAATAAGATCTCTGTCAATATACAAATGGATCTTGCAGCGAAATGAACACTACACGCGCCTGCGTGGCTCAGGACAGCACATTTATACCTGCAATGAATTGTGAAATTCACTATAATATAGACTCTTGTACTGTGTGGCCCGCGTGTTGTATCGTCAGACTAAATAGTATTAACGTTACCCCGAAGATGATGTTGAGGAGTACGGACTTAACTCCGAAGCTGGCCTCCACGATGGGCTCCAGAATCTTCCTCTTCTGGCGCTCAGCTCTTCCCTTCAGAACCGGCCCGAAAACTTCACTGGAGCTCAGCGCACCCTAAAACAAATTCGCTGTGATGGCCACTTAAAATGGCCCACGACTGTGAAACCCTTATTAAGATGTAATTTTACTTCCATTAATTTCTGGCTTCTTGTCCTCTCGTCTGATAAAAATTACTTTTTCTTCCACTCATAACTCATTTTATGCACCGCTTGTAATTTTGTTCTCTATCTCCTTGCGTTTGCTCAATTTCCTTGTATCATCTTTAAAATTTTATTATTCCGTCCTTGTTTATGTAACAAATTTCGTTATACAATTTTGGCATACGAAATGGTAAGACACAAAAGGACTAAGAAAATTATGCTTTCATAACGATGAGCATCATAGTACAGGTTGTCCCAAAAAGACTTAATCGCATCATAATAAGTAATATTAAACTTGTCAGTCAGTTGCGCACAGCTGTCATCTGGTCATTCTGAGCAGCTGTCATCTTGTCACGAAGGTAACGGTGGTGATTCTGAACACGCACTTTGGATTCGCTAATTCATTAAGTGCCAGTGTTTACGTATGTAATGGTTTAGTTTATTAAAATGTCTGTATTTTATTCGTTGAATGTGTGTGTGTGTATATCCATCTTTTTTTTTGGGACAACCTGTAAGTGCCGGTACTCCATCTGTTATTGTCGGGATTATTAAATTAAGGAGGATGAGATGGGGAGGGCACGTAGCAGGCATGACATGAACAGAATTTAACATAGTCTAAAACCTAAAGTGTAGATGTGATTTACATGCATGAAACGAGCTTGGGACAAAAAGCAGGCGGAGCGTACTTTGTTGAAATCGAAACTGGAATATCCGGATACACGAGTCACATGCTGTCTGATGGGTTGTCTGTAATATTCCGCCATAACGTTACTTCATTACGTGCTTTCGTTCTGTAGCCTGAAGATACCATTACATAAGAGTCGAGTAAAAATAACGGTTATCTGATTAGGTTTAGAAAGGGAAACTGAAAGCAGCTGGTTTCACCTTAGAATTAGGACAAATCAATCACTGGACTTGGCCATCCGTTGTTAACTAACCACCCCATTTAACGGCGTAAGGTGTTTCCTGACATGTGCATTCTCTGTTAGTTAACAAACGTAACAAACCCTGATTTTATGGAATTCAAATAGCCATTAAGTTCACAAAACATTTTTTGTGCAAACCGTTTCTTCTTTGCATCAAATGAGATGCGTGAAGATCCTAACGTAACCTCCCCAAATTAATTGCAATAAGTACTATAGGAACATAAACTACAAAATTCATTATTACGTAGTTCTTTTTCCAATTGAAAACGTTATCTCAACTCTCTGAAGTTGAAATCTGTTTCTTTTCATATTGTTTTCAAGTAGTTTCAGTTAACATCCTTACATAAGAACAAGGGACTGTATTTTTAATAATTTAGCTTATTCGATAAATATCTTCCGAAACTAATTCTGTTTTTCAGCTTCTCACAAAATTTCAGTTCTGGTAACTCGGAGTAATACACTAAATGAGAGTGTAGGATACGTTAAAAGATTCCCTTAATTTTATGGTCACTTTTCCAAACTTTAAATTATCAAGTAATTTTATGTAGGTTGCAAAACTGTTTTGATTTTAATTAGTCTGCATAATTTTTCAAAATAACATAAGCCCACAGCAGCAACGACAAATGATAATTTTGTTGTTGTTGTTACTCCTGACTCTATTAAGTGCATTTTAAAAGAACGAATAAATACAGATAATTACACACTCTCAGTCATATTATTCTAATTTTACACTTACCTTTATTTACCTTAAATTATATTAGAATGACAGGCGTAATTACATATTTCTAAATCTGGAGCCAATTTAAAGATCCCTTCAGGGCCCTTCCTCCCCTCCCCACTTCTTTTCGACGCCATTTTTCAAGGGTCCAAGGCCCCCCAATGAAAGTAGCAGTCAGTCGCTGGAACAGTTGATCTAATTTGGGTAGGGAAAAGGGTTAGCCTTCTTGTTGAGTCCGAGGTTCGCTTTAAACTGTCAGGATTGTGTGAACTTCATTTTTAATGTAACGATGAAATCTGACGTTATTTGATTGGTCCTTATCATCTGTCCCAGCCAGCCTGCTCTAGTTATGCCACGCTTACCTGTTGAACTGCATTGATATCAGCATCTGATACAAGAACTATTTGCTGAGCATCCGCCAAAGATGTCAGAGCGAAGAGGGCGCTAATCGCCGCGCAAAAGCACAGAGTAATAAGTTGCATTGTTAAGTCAGCCTCTGAAACAAAGGAAACGCATGATATTTATTCATTCGTACAGAAACACGGCGAAGCAACGTTTAATCCGGAGTTGTAAGCTGCGTGTACTCCGCTTTGGAGTAGCGCTGCCCTCGCACATCTTCCATATACGATCAGACGCTTAATACCAAATTTCATCGATATCCGTTGAAACGTTCAACTATTATATATGCGAATCAGAGGACCTGCAGGGATTACATCTCCATCGTGTCTTTATTTATGACAAATAAGTAATTGTTCCAATTTTATTATGCAATGTTCGCGTTAATTTTCTTTCACTCTTGCCAGAAGACATTTAGTTGTACGACAGAGTCAATTCCAGTAAGCCTTCTAGTGATCATTGCAGTAATATGGCCGAATGATCGCTGATGGCTGAGTTGAGATGGAGAAAGTATCTACGTAGTGTATTTAGGAAGCGTTTTGTTTGTTGAGAGGATCGTATGAAACTTGTATTTACAAGATTAATTACAGTTGATGTTCAGAATGTAAAAATTAAACTTTTTATTTTAATTATATCTGGATTATGATAAATATGAAAGCAGTGATTAGAATGTTTACAAAAACAAATGAATATGCCGCTTAAAAAGTAAGTTAGTACTTCAGAAATAGCAGCTAAAGCTACGTACAAAAAATAATAAGCCAGTAAAGACTGAAACTAAGTAGATTTGGATTACAGCAAATGTTTGTGAGCCTGTTAAGTAACCGTGACTTAAGTGCAGGAAACAACAGACGCGTTTTAAACGACTCATCCACGCGACCTCATGTGTTTTATGATCAGACTTATGCGCATTACGTTTCACCTTCAGAACATACTGACAACTTTCTGTAAGTTTCGCATTTCCGGTTTAGGAGAACCAAGGTGAAGTTGTGATTCAGACACAAGTTGAACGAATTGTGAGTTTGGAGATAGCTGTCTTCTGGGTTGTAACACTGTCTAGTCTTTTAGAATTTTACCAATGTTTCTGGGGTACTTACTACCTCCATTATCAGGACGATGAATCTCCATCGGTGAACTTCTACCAGACTACGCGGCGCTACAACCCAGAAGACAGCCATCTTCGTATTCACTGCCGCGAGAACCTCAAATCCTAACGGAACAAAGTACTTCCAAATTGCGGAAACTTTCGATTTTAGTACAGGCTTACTGTGTATTAAGAATAGTGCCACAATTTACACACTCATAAGTAATAAGTAAGTATGTAATATACAAGTTAAAGTACTTCCACTTTTTTGTAAAAAATTAACTAATTGTAGTTTAACACTTGTTTTACAGTTAATACATATTACAATAAGTAGAAAAGTTATAAAATAATGTTAACGCCCGAATACTAAGACACCAGATGATTAAAAACGCGCATAAAATTTAAAATTTTAATTATGTTAAGCCTGATGTGTTAGAACATAATTAACTATAGAACACTTTCTGGGGTTAATAAATTATTGATTTCAAATACGTGCACTTTTGTGTAGACGTTAAACGCCTTGCCTTGATTAATTTATATTAATTGTTACAAAATTGACTTAAATGTCAATAAAGTATTTGTGAACATTTAGGTTCTCAATTAAAACACTGCACATTATTCGTGTAAGATGGATATTTGTAGTATCTTTTAATACACGGTCTGTAACCTGATATCTTTTTTTTCACACTTGGTACTATAAAAGTCTTCAGGTACACAAAACGAGATTTATGTGATATCGTTAATATGTATACAGTTTTTTCTTAACAAAACCTCAGAAATAAAAATGCAGACCTATGAAGACAATATGGTTCTCCCTTCCGTCACTTCGCCGGTTCTGACTTCAACTGGCTCAGCTCTTATTTGAACAAGTTCTTATGTAGGTCACACATACGCGCGGTTGTTCCTCCTAGCACCACAGCACTTAATATGAACCGAGCTTTTCGTTAGTTCGGTAGATAGCAATTGTTTTTGTAATTCGTATCTGACTGCGACTTTACTAACGAATGATGCTGTAATGGGTCAAGGAGATTCAAAAGCAAGCGTCTACCGGTTACTCACGCATATAGTGGTTGGAAGGGAGAGACAGTGGTAGAGGGGTTGATGAACGGCGAAGAGTAGCACAGCGGAGAAAGGGAACTTGACGGACGATAATAAAGAGGGACTGACATAAGTGGTGAAACTTGTTAAACAGGTATATGCGTGTTATATTGTAAAATTATCCAATAATTTCTGTTTGTTTCACTTGTACACTTTTTGCATCGCAACATGATTGTTATGCAAGAATAAGTTGCATTTCTATCGATTGTAACTACAGTGACATACAACTTGCATGTAAATCTGACGACATGGGAGAATAACACAGAAATATTTATTAGGTAGATAGGTTGTGAACGTCGGCGGTGGACGAAGCTGGCTCAAGGTCCTGTCAAATTAAATTTTGATATTTGGTATTAGCGGTGTTGAAATTCTGAGTTATGCTTTCGTAGTGATTCGATTTTCGACATTAGTCAGATTGAATACAGAACCTTTCGACAAGGCCCACCAAACCTTCAGGTTAATCACCTGTAGGACGGTGGTGACATTAATTTACCATTGTCACAAACTTTCATATGAACGAATCTGGTACGTTCTTGCAGGATAAAAAAACAAGCACGAGGCGTAGCTGGGAGTCTCTTAAGGGCGTTACATGTGGTCGTGTGGCAAAGATTGAAGCTCCGAAAGACACAGTTACGACATGTGCCTTTCTCTTCAACTCAGATATCCTAACGGAACACCCGCTTTGGCATGGCTCCTTTCTACAATTTCACAACATAAACCATTTCCAGAACCTCACATGCCGGAATATTTCCATAATTTCACAACATAAACCATTTCCAGAATGTCACATGCCGGAATATTTCCAAATTTACAAGTACGATACACAGGCAACAGATGGACGCGAGGGCATTTTGAGGTGCAAGAACCATCTAATATGCAGGGCTCAAAAATGATGTATGGTAATAGTTAATTTACTATAAATTATGCAACCTGTGTTAAGTTGTAGAACGTAACATATCATGACGACAGCATGAAAATCTTCTTAGCGTTCAGTTTGACGGCATAACCTAATGAACAGAATTTGTAGGCACGAAGTTACACATACCTAACTTCAATAGTTAACCTAAATATTGATTTCTGCAGCCGATATGTTGTTATTTCACGTTCTAAAACATTTAACGATCAAGGATGCGTATTTTCTGATGATATATTACTGTACCTCACTTTAGGAAACAGTATTAAGTAGCAACAGCTTTGTTTCTACCTCACAATTTCATAAGTTCGCCTGTTATTGTCTCCAGCTGTAATGCAATAACGCTAAATGGTTCCAAATAAGCTAATAGTTCTACGTCTTTTTAACAAAGTTCCAAATTCATGTAGGTCGATTTGGGTTCACCAGAAAAAACTGAGAATGTATAGAAAATAAAAAATCCTTTTCCTTTGTATAAAGCATGATTCTACAATGAAAGTGAATTTTCTCCTATTTCTCACGGAAAGGCATAAATTAAGGGAATATTATGGTCATTTAGCACTGTAGAATATTTCAACTGCAGGTCATATTTTATCGTATTTCCACGTAAACTTTTCTGAGTTAGGGTAATTAATCGTAATAAATATGTATATAATTAAAATTGCTGAATTTTTTGTACAAACCTTCTGGCTGTATTGTTTAATTATGAAACGTGCCTTTAAATTAATCTAAATCTGTAGAAAATGTATATTTCAGTTTGCTTCTAGTGTAATCATCCAGAAAATGAAATTATTTTATTTCTTGAACTGTAATAAACTTGGTCTCTGTCATGGGTTATTTGAATTCAGTAAATTTTGAAATTTATCGCCGTGACTTTTTCGAATTTTCAACTTAGCACTTTTATATTAATGCCAACATTCTGTTACACAGAAACAAACATCAAATTGTGAATACATTTTGGATCAAAATGTTGTTCGTGATACATGATTAATTAACATAACTTAGAGTCGCCGACAGGGTCAGAGGACTTTCCCTCTAGCCGCTGCTTCCAGACAGGCTTTGGGGGCCCACCTAGCCGCCTATGCAGTGGGTACCGGGGTCGTTTCAGACTAATCTCCGATAATTAGGGCGTGCAAAATTCTTGTTATTTTTCTCAGATGTTAGATCTTTCCTTACGCTTCACGTAGGCGAAGAACACGTTATGAGGTGTTACATAGGGAACGCCATTAGCCATGTTTTTCTGAGCATCACTTACCTGGCCCAATACGTTATGAGGTGTTACATAGGGAACGCTATTAGCCATGTTTCTCTGAGCATCACTTACCTGGCCCAACATCTTTACTGGTAAGTCCGTCGGTAGACATCTCATAGCTCGGGGAATGGCTGGACGGACTTTCTTGAAATATATTGAGAACGTTGCGCTATTAAAAGCGTATACCTTAATTTCTTAGAATTAATACAAAATATCGCATTTCGATTTCTCACAACCGGTAACTCACGAGTTGTAACGTCCATTGTCCGCATTTATTAACTAGATATCTGTAAGGATTTAAATAAAATTGGGGCTGGACTTTACGCCATAGGTGATTATTCTAAACTAATATAATTAATTCTTCTCGTGTTACTAGTCATGTCAGGTGGTTTAGTAAAGAAAACGCCGACGTTTCGAGAACCATCTTGAGTACCACGAGGACGAGGACGAAGATGATTCTTGAAAAGTTGGCGAAGTTTGCTGAAGACAGAACCTATCAACGTTTTAGTTGTGACGAGATGAGTTACATCATGTGCCGTCGTAGAACAGACGAGAGTCATCAGTTATTGTTGCATGTGCTGTTACAATTCTGTGACAGTTAACGCAAATGTTACGTAAGTCTTATGTCAAACTCACGACCTGAACGAATCTGTTCGTTGCTTCCTGTCCACTTTAAACCACTTGTGATGACAGAGTAACTGGATGATGGAAGACAGCAGGTGCTCAGACGCCACGCATGAAACGTGGAATTAGTCAGGAAGGGAATTACATTTGTCGTTTATGAAGAGGTGAAGCAATTACCGCTATCTTAGCTTTGCTGCTGTGTACCTGTTTCCACCCTCCGTGCTACATGTCCCATCAATCTTAATATCCTTTATTTATCCACCTTAACAACACTAAGTTTAGAGTGAAAATTATTAAGTTTTACTTTGTGTTATTTTTTATATTGTACTTAACAAAATAGGTCATTATATTATGCATTCACGTATTTAAATTTCTCGTAGAGTTATATTATGTCAGTAAGATAAAATTCAGATGTATTTTAAAGTTTAATTTTTCATGAATATTGATACTATAAACTACCCAATCAATGTTTTACGTACGAATGAATAGGTACATTAATAACCTTATTACTTAAGATTTAAACCCATCCGCTTCATGTAGAAACCTCTTTTAATGAACTTGGACAATCTCTGATTAAATTTACATATAAAATTACTAAGGGTGTCAGCCTTGAAACACGTCCGGCAGTGTTTTATTTTTACTCCGAATAAGCGATTGCCGTGTACAGTGAATTTTCCGGACAAGTAAGTGGAAATTAATTTTTCCATCCATGACAAACGGAGCTAGAACAACACTGCCCTCAGCGGTAAATATTTCAGCACAAAAATACGACAACGTGTGCCAGGTCTTAATTTTTAGGATGCTTTTTCAGTGCTCAATGATCCTGGGCTTAAGACAGGAAGACCAAGGTAATCAGCTTACGCAATGTCGGTCAAAAAACCTGACAGTTTACGAATCAGGTCCTTCGCCTTCTTAAATTAAATGTTCTGTAATTTTTTGTAATTCTATTGGTTTATCTAACATTTTAACTGATTGCTATATCTTGGTAATTCTTGTTAGGAGGCTATGGTTTCAGTTTTATTAACACAGATTTTCAAATTACTCCCTCACTATTCGGCTCTCTTATCAGTCTTAAAATTCATTTACTGCAGATAAAAACTCCAAATTAAACTGCGTGTACCTACACCCCTCAAAATTTGTTTATATACAAATATTTATCAACATACGTCTGTCATGGCCACCTGAGAACAATTCCCACGCTCTAGTACCTCCTACGAGCAAGGTAAGTTTCCTTGGTTTCCAGTTAGGTTACCTTCATTCGTAACACAAGCGTTATGTAACTCAGAGGACGGAAGCTCTCCTCGCTAACAGATTCAATTAGCAAAACAAAGTGTTGTCTAATGAAGTACCTTGTCGCATTTCCGCCTCAATTCCGTTAACCAACTCTGGCATGTCTTGTTTGGGATGAGCAAATAGAAACGCACATTCGAGTTGACGTACTTCCGCAGATAAAAAGTTAACTTCGAAGCGATGACGCCCAGTAATTTCAGATCTTTGAACCAAAATTTTGAAGTTGAGCGTTTGGCACGCCTGCTTCTTATCGGGATATCCCGGGTTCAGTATTCGGCCCGGAAGCCGACTACTCTACCTGAGGATATTTTCACGTTGTTTCCTTAAAATGTTGAGGTAGACCACGACCACTTCCCTCCTTACTTTGTCATATTATCATTACAGTTGGTACTGGAAAGTGACTGGACTGTGCAGCTAACATCTCAGTTTAATGCTAAAGAATGTGTGGAGATTGACCTCCACTGTACATACGCCTTTATATCGTACGACGTGAGTAAACGTCTGCCTTAAATCTTTTTAAATATGCTCAAGTGAGAATGTTCAAATCAGAAGTAACACCAACTGTTGTTACAATTACAGCTGGAGATTTCTCTCAAATAAACAAATGTGTTGCACTTCTTCCGTACAGCTCTGGTTTCGTTTCATCTGCAGCCTCCGCTCTCTCGAAATGTCATCAGAAACAAGAAAAATCAAACATAAATCACCATTCTTAACGAGACTAACTCAGACATAATTGTTTTTGAATATACTCTTTAGTATCAGCTGGCATGTGTTAGCATGTGAAGCCTTAACTTTCAGTATCTGTTGACAATGGTCCTGAATTTTAAACCCGTTCGCAACTAAAAGTTGGTTGGATGGTTATTGTTCGCCTTTCTCCTGATCGTCTGCACGGAGAAATCTCTTTCAAGGTCAGGCGACAGAACTGCTTCTAACACTTCGCCTCCAGAGAAGCGTCCCTTTGATTTATGTTTGTGAAAGCGAAAGTAAAGTTTGTAGACGCTTTGTTTCGTGATGGAACTTAACAGAGGCAATGTCTGTAAAGCTCTCAGTCTGAACGGAAACAAAAATGCTTCGAGCGAATGTACAAGGTCTACCGTTACATTTACTACGCTGTCTAATAATTGGTAACATTTCAGTAGATCTGTTTGGTAATATGTAGCCATGTTATTAATGACTAGAAATGTTGTATATCTTTTTTTCTAAATATTAAAGAATTAGGGTGCGAAATCAGAGATTGTATTTAACAGTCAGGTTTAAAATTATCCATAGTGCAAAGTCCTTGTAGAAGCCGAAAGTCGCTCAGCTTGTCAAAGAATTTCCCATATTTCGTGAACTCGAAGTCTTATTACCCCTCTCAAAAGAACCCTCCATAGGTCCGTACCCTGGTTCAGATAAATCCAATGCAGACCGTCAGTATTGGTGTCCAGATGTCAACGAACATATCTGCAAAATACGTGTGTGTCGCGTACTCTTTCTTTCCCTCGTGACGTGGAAGATGATTATGTTAATAATACACATTATAATGTTGATCAGGAAATCAAGGTGCGCTGGTAGGGTTCTCAAGAACGTCGCAGCCATGTCACGCCCGATCGCAACTGCACTTTCACGTGATTTCTCTACGGTACACTTCAGAATCACAGGCTGAGAGTGACAGGTGACTGTCAGTGGCACAAAGAAACATTTTTCCTGTAGGCACTTAATTGGCGTTCTGTTCATGGTAATGCAGGAAACGAGGGATTTTACATTTTGAAGGGAAGAGACCACTTAGAAGACCTAGGCGTAGATGGAAATATGATATTAAAGTAATATTAAGGAAATAGTGTGGACTGGATTTGTAGAACTCAGATTAAGGATATGTGGTGTGGGCTCTTTTAAACACAGTAATGAAATTTCGGGATCCATGAAGAGTGGAGGATTTCTTAACAAGCTGAGTGACTGTTAGTTTTTCAAGAAGGACTTTGCTCTGTGCAATAAGTTAATTAGTTGATTTGAGAGGAGTCGGCCGTGGTATCTTTTAAATCTCGGCTGCTCTTGTCACAAATTGGTTGTGAAAATGTCTGGCAGAATTTGCAAGTGTCAAGGCAGATAAGTAATATGTAGAACAAATTCGAAAAAAATGTAATTTTTTCTCTCTTATGCCTTGGTACATGAAGTAGGTCTTATAATTATTATAAGTACCTAGGTTTATTACTCTGGTTTCATTATGTACAAGGTCGAATTCCCCTCAAGTAAATGAACACATGATTAGGTTGGGTCATTTGGAAATTTCCCTTATAAGGCCTTAACGTCGCCGTTTACAGTTAACACTTGGGGCCGGGGGGTTTGCTCCTGTTATGTCTTGAAATATGAAGAAATAATCTCCGGTGCGTGCTACTGCAAGGTTGAACGATGCAGTCAGTGCGTTATAGCAGAGATGACATCTTTTCAAACAGTGGAAATAGCCTTTTAATAATGTTATTTGCGTGTGACGAATTACTTCCCGATTTAAAAACAATATTTGCTTTGCTTAATTGTTAATTGAACCATGTTAAATGACCGAGCTCGTGTAAAAAGGATTGTTTCAGGATTTTTACTGATTGTGCAAGGGTAGATTTATACTCGGACTTTTTTCAAAAGCTTTTTTAAAAATAGGAATAAAATTTGTTATACATTTTCGTTCTGTTGAATGTCGGGGTGGGGTGGGGTGGGGGTGGGGGGGTTAACAGTTGATTAATTCTGAAAGGTACGAAAGACCTGTCCCTTCTTCAACAGCAGTCAGTGTGATAACTTCAGATCCGGCTATTTTATTTCGCTGCGGAGAATTGCATGTGATTTTACCATCTCTTGTAATCACTTTATCCCTATAAACATCCCAGCTAATTATCACTTTCCCAGACAACTTTCCTCTCGTTGTGTGCTCAAGGTGGAGAGGCAATGACGCACGAGTATTTAATTCGTGACCATAGACATGTTTTCGCCTACCTCTGATGCTGATTCAGTCATTTTTCTCGTCTTAACGTCGCGTTTGTTTAAAATTTATTTAATTTAATTAGCTGTTTCAAGCCATAAACATACAACAGTAATTATTTCCTTCTATTTACACTGTTAAATATTACAGAAAACCGTATACAAATGTGGTTAATTTTCTCACAGATTTTACGTCTGTCATGTTAACCTTGAAGTAAGTTACTTTGTGAGAAATACTGTTAATTCATGAACTTGTGTTTTAAGTTAAGTCATGTACAGTTTCTGTTTTATGAGCTCATATTTTTAAATAGAAGGAGTTGAAGGGACTTGCAAACCTTTAGAATTTCCTTACTGTAGTAACACTTCGAAATTAAGTAGGTAATGTATGTCGAGAGTTAACATGTGTCTATGACTGTCTACACGTGTAGTTATACACACTACTGTAGACTGTTTTAACTGAAGCTTTCCACGTGTTAGATTTATCGTAATATGATGTTATGCAACATGTAGCTCAGAGAATAGATAAGACATTATCCTGGTAAATATATTAGCCTATTGCAGATATCAAAGTTAAATTGTCCTAATATATTTGTCATGTGATTTCGTAACTGGACACATTTCATGCACATTAATTTGGCATATAAAAAGGCATATTAGAACGTAATTTTAACTGAGTTAATAGAAGCATTATAACTATACTAAGCAATGAGTACTTACATTTTCACTTCGTCACTTCAACTTTTACTGACGTCACTGGACTAACACACAAGAACACTTTATTCACAGACGCACACGGCTTTCGCTGAAAGCACCCGTAAAACAAAAATACCGATGAATTAGTATCGTGTATGAAGGATATAGTTCAGCAGCAAGTGGATGGCGTTTTCAAGCGCTTTGTATCTCGCGGCGCGAAAGTTAAGCACTGTCGTACCTAAGAGTGATGAGAAGCTAAATTAGACGTTCTGAAGTGGTAATCTCAAGTAAACAAATGAAATATGCCGTTCTTTCGACATTGTCGCTGTATATCGGCCATTTCTTTATGTTGCCAAGGTGAACTTACTACTTTGCGGTCTCCCACTTCTCTTATCCAACTGTCTCCCACTAAATTTCTCCCACTTCTTCCAAACCTTCCCACCATCTGACTGAACTCAGTCACTCACTCTCTCTCCAAGAACCATAATGTGGTACTCATACTTTTTATTGTTATTGGAGGTTTCCTCGAGCGATTACGAAATCGCTTCTCCGTTCCTCAACATGAAAGCTTCGCCCGTCGGAAATACGAGGCTCGTCCACAAAGTAAGTTTCCCTGGGGCCGTTTACAGAAACAAAACACAATTTCATGGAAATATTTATTGCAACAGATACAGCAAGTGTCCAGCTATTTTTCAACATATTCGCCACCGGAATTGAGACATTGGTCATACCGTGGGACCAACTTTTGAATACCTGTGTCGTAGAAGTCTGCCGCCTGGGATTGGAACCACTGTGTGACAACCATCTCCGCCTCTCTGTCATTCTCAAAACGCTGACGCTGACCGGACAGGAATTTCTTGAGGTGTAGGAAAAGATGGAAATCACTGGGAGCGAGGTCCGGGCTGTAGGGTGAATGATTAAACACCTCCCAGCTGAACTCCTGCAGGAGACCTGCTGTCCGTCGAGCCGTGTGCGGCCTAGCGTTATCACTGACCGCACTTCACAGTCGGCGGGAGCTGGAATAAGAACCTCCATCTTCAACAGCTGCAACGATGCTACTGTGAGAACGCGGGAAGTACCGTTAGTGCATGCGCCATGCTACGTCATTGCTCTATCACGTAAGCACAGTCGCTTCGCGCAATATAAGGTTTGCTAGCTGTGGGACGAGTGGGAAACTTACTTTGTGGACGCGCCTCGTATGAAGAGTAAGACAGAATTTGTCACTGCTATGGCGTTCAGTTAATCAAGAATGTCCAACTAAATGTTTATGAGCTGGTAAATATCTTCTTAGTTGCTCTTAGGAAGTATGTAATGTTTTTCCTTAATGTTTTTAGCCTTCTTGGTAATTTCGAAAGCATAATGTCGCGTCTTCCCATATTTGTGATCGCCGATATTACTTAACGGATTCTGGTAACATTTTGTACCGGGGGTATAGGAGAATAGCCGTGCGTGTGCGTACAGACGTAAAGAATATCACGTGGGTCACTCACTCTTCCTGTTTTGAAAGAAGCGAATGGCTCCGTGGGCGAATCGTTGCGCCATGTGCCGTTGCATGTTGAAAATCACAATCACAGGCAAAGAGAACAAATAAGTCAGAAGCGGTGTATCCCATTGCGTCATTTGATACGCGATCCTTCTACTGTCGAGATATAAAACCGAATCGCAGAGACGAAACCTAAGATACAAACCACCAGCGGTGTTCGCCAACAAGACGAAATACCTTAAACATTTGAATCTCAAAGCATTGTGCTTCAAACGTCAGTGGGTTTAAATAATGTTTATAAGTTTAGTCCGTACCTCAAAGAGAATTCAAAGCTCTTCACCATTACAAAGATCAATTGGTTAACACAAGAGAGAAATCGCTTTTTATTCTGAGAATCATACGAAACCCATGTATACACACTCTGTGCGTGAAATACGGAGATATTTAATATTAAAACACCTGGTATGTATAATTACCACAGTGCTGTTTAATAATTGTAACTGGAAGAGAGCAAGAACTTGATCGAGCTTTCAATCATGCTACACCGTAGATACCCGGTCAGTGCGATTAGCGTCCGTCGGTCGGTTATCCCGAACGCGCAGAGGACATTGAGCGCGCGGGAAGTCTACCGATGAAGGGCCCTTACCTTTCTGAGGGTTTGCCCACTCCACTAGCTCCTAGCTCATCTCTCCGTTCACTTTCTCCGTCTGTACTAGGGGTGAACAAACTGTTACACCAACACGGACGTGTTGACTTTACGAATTATGCAGTTAACTGCCTGTGCCGACCCCAAAATTCTCTTTGAAGCATCGCATTTTGAACTTTCTATTCTTACTGAACGTCGATAATTCTCCAGCTTTGTATTTGGGAAGCTATTATTGAATATCGACCCGGAGGCCGGTATCCTGCCCTGCCTGACTCTTAAGGAAATTTTTTAAAATTTTAAGATAGAATGCACAACGAGCGTTTTATAGAGGAGAGACTTAATATATTACTGCATTCTTTACGCAAAAGCGGAGGACTTAGATTTTATCATTTAGTTCAGAAAATTTCAGTCTTATGAACGAATGTGAGATGAACAGGACATAGATGTATAGCATTTTGTTCCGTTATTTTGTACGTGGTGCCTCAATTAGGGTTGTTAACCTACAGTCTTATTCACATAATTTTGGGACAGTTTATGAATAAAAGATTACCAGTTTTGCGCAAGAGTATCTTGAATACAAGATTACATGATCTAACATATGAAAAACCTGGTGTATTGTGTCGTGTCCCAGTTAGACGCACAGATAAAAACACTGCTTAACAATTATCTGTGCATAAATTTAGTGAAATCAATTTCGCATGTAATAAGCAATTGGCAGATTGTTGTACTGTGCATTGTGCAATTATACACAAGAAGCATCACCTGTGTTTAGACCAACTGATGACGCAAGAGGTGGTTGCCGCGAAGACTGGTAATTATTCACATAGAACAAAAAAAACTGGCGTCAGAGAAAACAGGCAAAGTAGTTGGTGATTGTTAGCGGTACTCAATTTTTTTCTCCTGGTTTGTCATCGTATTAAGGGAACTCGGGTTTTCACAACAACGTAAGCATGTATATTGCACTTTCTTTTGCATATGCCTGTCTAATCCATCCATCTGTATGTCCGTCTGTCTGTCTGCAATAGACCTATCTGGCTCTATCTGTGAATATATTCTTCCATCTGTCCTCAAGTCTTTCCGCATAAAATCAGCAAATGAAAAATATTATCACGTCGACAGGTTTAAGCCGTTGTTTTTTTAAAATAGGAATTGTTGTAGAATACGCATAACATTTTACTCACATTATTACTCTTTTTGGGACCAAAAACATTTCAGATTTATTGCTTTGTTTATTTTAGGGTGTGGTTTATCGTTTTTGACAGGTTGGCCTGTGCAGGTGAAATTATTTTCCTCTGCCCTGTGTTAAGTCTAAATCGGCAGCATGGCGCGTTTTTAATTGTTTCGCTACTGTATTTTGTTTAAGAACATATTTTGAGTGTGTGGTATCCATGACAAATGATTTCAGTTGGTGACACGCCGCAAATGCTAGTAGAGGAAAGGAAGAAAAACAGGATTTTCATTAACGTTTTGAAACATCAAACTTTGTTCTTAGTATCGAAAAATTAATTATGTTAAAGGTGTAAAATTAGTGCAAATTTCGATGTATTAAATTCTGCTTGTAATCCCGGAAAGACGGACGGCATCGCTTAACAGCTTGTAAAGTACTTTGACACTTATATTAGTTATCACTATGGTTTAAAGGCGTTGTTTTATTTAATTAATATTGATGCTGGAATTTACTGTTATAAGAATTATCTTTTTCTCTGCCAGTATGCATTTTGTCTGACATTTAAAAAGGTTCTTTTATGGAGGGAACGATCTTATATAAGCACATGCGTAAGTAAGTAACGTTGAGTTGAACCATAAATTATTGGGGACGAGTTGGTGCTGATATTTACACATTGCGTAATTGAGAGTTGAAAGTGAGATGTGCGTTCCAGCGCCATGCACGTTGCTGGACACAACAACAACAACAACAACAAAGTGACGAAAAGGCTTCCTGCTATTTTAAAATATTTACTTTCAACACAGGGCAATCTTATGTACAGTGTGTTATCTAAATATGGCGACATATAACGATTTCTTGATTTCATGCTTAAAGACAGCATATAGTGTTTCATCTTACGGAACTTATAAGCGTGTTATAATTTTTTTTCATACGGAAGTTTATATATTTAAATGTCATGTGTTACAATATGAATTTTAATATCATTTTGATCTTTCTCATTTAAGCTCTACTATGCAGAAGTTACACTGTATGAAAAATGTGAAAAGTTAATAATTACAAAGCAAAATGAACAATAATTTTCAAGAAGAATAGTAGAATATCCATATTTTAATAAAATAAAGTGTTGTCTTGTAGATATTTACCAACGTTTCGAAACAACATATTGCATCCACTTTCATGAACGCTTGAGATGGCTCACACTTCAGCGGTGAAGTTCTGATACTGATAAGTGAAACGATTACACTAAAGTATTTTACCCGATTGATCTGTTTTATAGTAGGGATATATATTTTCTGTGACGTTTCAATGCCGTATGCTGGCAAACCGTCGCGACGCTTTTCGTAGCTATGTTTCGAAGAGACGCCGTACAAAACCGATGATCGTCGCCAAGAAATTTAATGCGCAGCTGAAAGAGAGACGCTGCGCGTCTAGGCGCAGTTCACGAAACGCGTGAAAGGCCCGCACCAACGCCGGTACAAGACAGTTTATGCGCAGTTGCGGGAAGGGGCGTCAATGCTGGCGAAATAGGGAAAAGGTTGCCGATTGTCGCGATGCGTCCATCTGGACGCTTTCACGGGATAACGTATTTTTCCGGAAGTGAGCTCCAGGTTCCATCCATGAGACAAGCGACTTCCGACGCCGATTGATGCGAATCCATTCGTCGCGACGACGTCCGACCAGACCAAATTAAGTACTGGCGACCCTCCGGAAGGCCCGGACGACGTCGCTAAACG